TTATTTTATGTCCCAGTATGTGATTTATCTTGGTGAACATTTTACATGCATTAGAAAAGAATATGTATTCTACAGTTTTTGAGTACATATTCTGTAAATGTAAACTAGGTCAGGTTGGTAGTATTTTTGAGATCTCTGTCCTCATTGATTCTTTTGTCTACTTGGTATACTAATTAATGGAAAAGATATTAAAAATCTCTGGCAATGCTTGGGGATTTGTCATTTCTTCCTTTAGTTCTGTCAGTTTTTGTTTCATGAGTTTGATGTCCTGTTATTGGATATACACGTATAGCTTTGTTATATATTCCTAGTGAATTGGCTTTTTGTCTTTAGGTCTACTTTGACTGGTATTAATAGAACCATTCAGCTTTCTTGTGCTCATTCTGCCTAGTATATAACTTTCTATCCTTTTACTGTTTGTATTTTTGTATTTACATTGTATCTTATAGATGATATCCTATAGTTGGGTCTTGCTTTTTTTCTGCTTAGCCTGACAGTTTCTGCCTTTTAGTTGAGATGTTTAGTTCATTTACTTGTAGTGCAGTTATTGCTATGGTTGATTTTCCATTTGTTCTTCTGGGGTTCTTTTTAAATGTACAATTCATTGGTTTTTCATATATTTACAAAATTATGTAGTCATCACCACTATCTAATTCTGGAACATTTTTGTTGTCCCCAAAAGCACCTCATTAGCAGTCACTCCCCATTTCCTCCAATCTCCAATCCCAGGCAACCGCTAATTTGCTTTCTGTCTCTTTATTTTCGACTGTTCTAGGTACGTAAGTGGAATCATGCAAGATATGTCCTTTTGTGTCTGGCTTCTTTCACTTAACATAATGTTTTCAGGGTTCATCCATGTTGTAGCATGAATCAAGTACTTCATTCCTTTTCATGGGTGAAAAGTATTCTATTGTATAGATATATGTTTTATTTATCTAGTCATTAGTTCATAGATATTTGCACTGTTTGAACTTTTTAGCAATTATGAATTATGCTGCTTTGTCTGATTGATTGTGTACACATTTTTGTGTGGATGAATGTTTTCATTTCTCTTGGGTATATACCTAGAAGTGGAATGGGTGGGGCAGATGGTAGTTTTATATTTACCTTTTTGAGCAACTTGCCAAACTTGTCCAAAGTGGCTGCACTGTTTTACATTCCTACCAACAGTGTATGAGGGTTTTAATTTCTCCATGTCTAGGTCAGCACTTGTTATTATCTGTCTTTTTAATTTTAGCTATCCTGGTGGATATGAATTAGTATTTCATTGTGGTTTTGATTTTCATTTCCCAAATAACTGATGATGTCAAGCATCTTTTCACATGCTTCCTTCTGAGTTTTGTTCCTCTGTTGGTCCTTCAGTGCTTTCTTTTGCATTATTTTTAAGCATTTCACTTTATTTCATTTATTGGCTTATTTGTGTCTATGTTTGCGTGTTTGAGTGGTCCTAGGGCTGGCAATATGCATCCTTAAATTATCAGAAGCTATTCAGAATTTTTGTTGTACCTTTTCACACCTTACACTTGACACTTCAGACTTCCCCATTCATACAAATAGTATTTAGGATCCCATCTGGCTTCCGTTAGAAAACGTCCTTTATTGAGGCTAGCCCGGTGATGTAGTGGTTAAGTTTGCGTATTCCAGTTCTACAGCCCAGGGTTCCTAGTTTTGAATCCTGGGTGCAGACCTACATACCTCATCAAGCCATGCTTTGGGGGCATCCCACATACAAAATAGAGGAAGATTGGCACACATGTTAGCTCAGGGACGATCTTCCTCACCAAAAAAATAAATAAGTCCTTTATCTTTTTAAAGATTATTACATCTTGATTTCCATTTGACTTTTAATACTTTTCTTTTTTACCCAACATAAATATTCATAAACACATGTTAAAATCTATATTGTGTACATCTTTCCCTGCTGAAAGATATATTTTGTGTCTTAGTCATATTTTCCTTTAATTTGAAATTGCCATGATTTTTATTACATCCTTATGATTTTAAGATATATTGGCTATGGCAGCCACTATACAGCTTTAGAGAAGAGATGTTGTTAAAATTATTTTGGCCTGGGTCTTTTACAGTCTTTAAGGATAAACACTTTATCAAGTGTTCTTATGGAGCCTTTTACTTGTTGCTTCTTTATCTCAATCCAGTACTCATGTTAAATGTGGCTTGAATGTGCATACGTGTACTTCATTTGTTTCACAGATAGCTGCAGCAAAGGGGAGAAGGGGGTTTTTTCATTTAGTCTCCATTGTGCTACCCAGGATGCCATGCCATAATTGCTCCCCTGCAAGTAGACTAGGCATACCCTTTCACATCTCAAAGAACTCAGCAGCCTTCTTTCATCTGTGACCTTCTAAAACAGGTTGCAAGTGTTAAAATTTGTGGCCCTCCAGAGTCGGTTTCTGCCTGCTCCAGCCAGCTGAGACTTGTGCTAAGACCCTTTATTCAGGTCATGCCATCCTTGTCAACATTGGTCTCACCAGTAGAAGCATGTTCTGTCTGAAGCAAACTGAGAAATTCTCGGCTGGGATTCTAAGAAATGGCTAACTCTGGGAGTGTGGAAAGTGGGTCTCTGTCTCTGTCTCTCTCACTATTAAATGAAAGAAGGGTAATTAAAAGCTGCTCATTTAACAGCGTTTGGAATGTTTTTCAGACAAGAAAGAGTAGACTTGGTTGTGTTCAGAACCTCCAGTTGGTTTGATCTTTTTGTTACCATATTCTGTTGAAACATTTCATTATAATTCTGAGTAATTTGAGAAAGATGAGCAATAATTAAGTCATTAAGATAGAATTGCACTGAGCTGAATGGATGACTAAGTCAGTGAATGTTCCAGGCAACCTAAACTCTATAACTGTAGTCTGAGAAATTTTTAAAATATTATATCCCTTTTTAGCAGCTTCGTGCCACTCTACTCGTCTTTCTGTAAGTAGCAAAATCTGAAAGTGTGCACAAAATTGTGTGTGTGCTCATTTTTCTGAGGGGAGAGAATATATGGTCTTAATCAAATTCTTAAAGAGTTTTATGTCCAAGAGAAGATTAAGAACCTCTAAGTAGAAAGTATTAGCCTAATTTTTAGCTTCCTGAAGCCTTTTTGATTCAAATACTCTTGGCCAGATTGCCTTCAAAGGTTTTCCCCCTTGAATTTCTGATGTTTAAAAGAAAGGGATATAGATTTAGATGAGAAGGTTTATATATATATATATTATATATACAAGGAAAAGGAATTATCTTGAATTGTAAACCCTCAAGGTATGGAGATGCCTTAAGAAAACTTCTAGCAAAAGTGATGTAATTGAAACTGAGTAGGATAATAGGCCTATTGGAAAGGAATCTCAAACATGCAATTCTTTGAGACAAGTAGGGGCTTTCAGACAGATTGTAGGCACAAAGAGCAACACTGTTTACACACATACGATGGTCGCTGGACTGGTATGCTAAGGAGGGCCTCCCTAGTCTGGTCCAGCCTGTCTCCTGCCCTGTCTTCCAGCAAAGCTACATTCTGGTGAAATGATCTCAATGTCATAGATTCCATATTTTATTTTACTGCGGGAAAAACATGCCTTGTTGTTTGGGATGCTTGGTGTGCATTAGAAATTCTAGAAAGCATGTAATAGATAAAGGTATTTATTACTGAAGAGAGATTGTTGTCTTCATAGTCGTCGCTACTGAAAAAACCCAATTTTTAAAAAACACCCCATTTTACTTTCAAATCACCATTACCACACTGTCTGCTTTTGCCACCAGTTTGAAGTGCTTTTGCCCGGCTCCTCCTTCCCAAAGAGCAGCACGAGCTTCACAGGCACTGGGGAGAGGAAGCCAGTCCCAACACACTGTGACGCAAGCAGGTATTCAAATGCCTGTGCTCAGGCTTTGGATGTGAATGCTGCAATCAAAGTGAATTTGTGAGAGCCTTGCAATTTACAGGTGTTATGCTGCATTTTGATAAGCTAACACATTCACATTTTGCCCAGTTGAGGTATCAATAGTGAGGAAATAAGGTTTGTTGTCTCTCTGAAAAAGCAGAATGTTTAATTTCTTATTTGCCTAAGGCCCTTTGGTTTGTTTTCCATGACTATTTCCTCTGACTCTTTTCTGCAAATATAACTACTGTGGCCGATAAGTCACCATGGGACAGGCCTCTTTTAAAAATTATGTTGATGCAGAACTCCTTCAGAGCCCCTGCGTAGGGAGAAAAAATTTTTAAATCAAGCATTAAGTGAAATTATATCCAGATTCTTTAATAGTTGAGATATAGAATAACCGTCTAACAATTAAACAGCACTGTATTATTATATAGGCACATTTAGGTACTAATGAAAATGCAATTGTAGAATTGCCAAACTCTAACAGAAAAAATTTAAGTTGCCACCAAACTGTCTTAAATGTTGCCTATTGAAAAATTATCTTCAAAATTTAGAATATAGTATTTTGTAACATGCCCCAAAGTTTGTGTATAACAGAATGCAAAATTATAGTTGCACATTGGCTTAGCCGCTCATCATTTGCCACCTTTTCATCTTAACCTGAAATATAAATTGATTAGGCTAGGCAGACATTGAGTTTATTTTTTGTTTGCCCTCTAAGTTGTGGACCTAATTTTGAACTGAATATCCATCTGAACTGCATAGAGTCTCTTAAATTGTGTGAGTAAAGGGAAGACTGTTGCCTCAGTTTCACTCTCTGTACCATTGATTTTTAAAACTTTTACCTATTTCACCAGAATGTGCTTTTTGGGGTTTAAAGTAAAAAAAAAAAACCTGTTTAGCGAGAAACCCTGTTAACGTATTTATCTTCTTCGGGATTTGGCAATAGAAAGTTCAGGTAGATACTGTAATAACATGAAGTGATCAGCAGGGGACTTTCAGATCCTTCCCATTACTGCTTTCTCGTTTCCTGCTTTCAGTTTAAGGTTTGTGAGCTGTCATACCGTCACTTCTCTCCCCTTTCCCACCCATCCTCTGTATCTTATATTAATGTACTTTTGTGGTAGGCCCCAGACGTTCCACAGCTACCTGGAGGACATCATCAACTACCGCTGGGAGCTCGAAGAAGGGAAACCCAACCCTCTGAGAGAAGCCAGTTTCCAGGAGCTGCCTCTTCGTACTCGTGTGGAAATCCTGCACCGACTCTGTGATTATCGGCTGGATGCAGATGACGTCTTTGATCTTCTCAAGGTGCTTAACTGGCGAGCCCTTTCCCGAGAGCAGAATCTGAAGTACTGAAAGAAGCCAGAGTTTGGCTTGTGTTACTAGTCTTGGGACTCTTGATTGACAGTAACGATGGATACGAAACCATGACCACTGTAGCCAGAGGAATCCAAGCCATGCATTTATATGACTGTGGGTTATTTTGGTTGAATTTCTAGTTTGGTTTTGTCTTCCTTTACGTGTGCTGAGTCCCATCGGACACCGGAACAATCAGAGGCACGTGTTTGTTCTTCCTGGCATCAGCCAAAATTGCAACTAAATTAGCCACTCAATGTTATTTCCCAATGTCTGAAATTTGATTTACCATATTGAAATATTTATTGAAAACTCTTAAGAACTTCAACCTGTATATACAAGTGAAGTTCATCCCTACATACACATTACAAAATTTATGTTGGAGAAGGAAGGTGTAAATCTCTCTTCCCTCCCTCTTACTCTGTTGTCATCATTTATTTTAGAAGTCTCTGTCCAAGTGAGGGTGTACAGGGTTGTTGCTTTTCACTCATGGGGAGGTCAGTTTCTAATCCTATTCAGTCAGAAATGATTAAATGTGTTGATGACTCCTCAGTTCACCCCCGTTCGTGGACATGGTATAAAAATCATTGTGCAGTTTAGCGCGGTCTTTGCTAAGCACTCAAGGACTTCACTAGCAGTGGGAATGCCAATGCAGGTCAGACCCTGGGTAAGTTGGGAGCTGTGGTGCTGGATCTCAGCTGGAATGAGAGGCTGCTATAGGTTATGATGGAGCTGCCACAGGATCACATGGGACAACACTTTCACAACCTTGGATTCCCTTGTGTTGTAGTTGTCTTTCCCTTTATGGGTGCACACGTAAATAACAGTAAGTCCAAACCAAACGTGTAATAGTTTCATCACAATTCCTTTTGGTTTTTCTTTCTTTTCTGAAATGAGGGCAACAATGGGGATAGGAAGCATTTGAAATATTTTCCCTATCCTCTTCATCAAAGAAGTGACCAGCTTCCCATTCTATCTGTGTTTCCTATGCCTTGATTGAAAATTACATAAGTTGCTTGGGCATTTTTTAATTATGAGGTTTATCATGAGTATATGAAGTATATCATGAGTATAAATTTTGAATCCTCATTTTAGGTCTTTCTTTTTTGTTTTGTTCCCCATTTCCCCAACCATTTCCCTGTTTTTCTACCTAGGGTCTGGATGCAGACAGTCTCCGTGTGGAACCATTGGGTGAAGACAATTCCGGGGCGCTCTATTGGTATTTCTATGGAACGCGAATGTACAAGGAGGACCCTATACAAGGAAAATCCAATGGAGAGCTCTATTTGAGCAGGTATACACTTTAAGACCAAGCTGTGATAGCTACTGTAAAAAATGTCATTAAAATTAAATACATCAGAATTCTGCAGCAAAAAAGTTTTTTCTTATGAAGGGATTGGCTATAACAGCATAACACAAATAGATGCAAAGAGTTATTTCATAGAAAAATTGAAAGGGCGGGGCCGGTCCCATGGCCGAGTGGTTAAGTTCGCGTGCTTGCTTCAGCGGCCCAGGGTTTCGCCAGTTTGGATCCTGGGTGCAGACATGGCACCGCTCGTCAGGCCATGCTGAGGTGGTATCCCACATAGCAGAGCCAGTAGGACCTACAACTAGAATATACAACTATGTGCTGGGGGGCTTAGGGTAGAAGAGGAAGAAGTAAAAAATAAATAAACCCAAAAAAAGGGCAGCAGATGTTAGCTCAGAGCAGGACAGTCATTTCACTGTAGCAGTTTTCCTCTTTCATAGTCACTTCTTGAGAATACCTTTTTTCTGCTAGAATTGGTGATCTACGCTGTCAGTATAGGACCAGATGGACCTTAAAGAATGCCTGAACATAAGCCTTCCTAAATGAGGAAGAGACCCCTGCTATCAATAGCATCCCAGAACAGTGCTGTCAGCTTGTTTTATTAGACTTTCCTATTGCTAGGAGTGCTCACTATTAAGAAAGTGCTACGTCTTACTCAGTTTTTAATAGTGTAGAAGGTCAGTTTTCCTTGGTTCCACTCTCTAGTAGTGGAAGACAGGAAGTCCCCTGTTCTTTCCCGATGGCTGCTGCATTTAGTCTTTTGTAGTAATCTCTTGGCCAGAAAAGCTGCAGTTACTCATTTAAAAGTCGTATGTAACACATCAATCCTATGACAGAACATTTCTAATTAATATACTATTTCTTAGGGAAAGCGAAGGACAAAAGAATGTCTCAAGTGTTCCTGGGAAAACAGGAAAAAGAAGAGGAAGACCCCCAAAAAGGAAGAAACTCCAGGAAGAGACTACAGTGAGGTAAGAAGATCTCATTAGTCTTTGATGGTTCTAGACCCTCATGCTGGGAGGGACCTAAATTTCATTTGTTCCTTCATCCTTGATCTTCGCTCGAGCCATCGGAAGGACGTAAATTATGGAGATCTCAATCAGACTCCCCATGAAATTACTGCGTGTGCGCTAGGCATCACGAAGCCCTAGCTGCACGACCTCCAGCAAGCTCCCTCCCCTCTCTAAGCCTGTTCTTTTATTGGACAGTGGGGATGCTAGTAGTAATGAGGATTGAATTGAACAAGACAGTGAATGTGACAGTGTAATGAACTGAAAACAATGAATGGCCCGTAGTGAGTGCTAAGTATGTGTTAACTTTTAATATTTGTTCTGCCGCACGTTTTTTCATAGGAGCGTGGAGCAAGTTAATTCTGTGATTAAGTGTTGACTAATAATCAGCATTTTAATAGAATTATATATCATACCTGAGTTCAGGAGTTAATTCTTTCCTGTTACAAGATTTTAGTAGCAAACATGCATTATTTTGTTTAAAATACCATTTCCTACAATAAAGAAAAGGTCAGATCTTTAACATTTTTATAGTCTTTATTTTATATTTAATTTTAGCAAAGAAAGATTACATTACGTTTCAGCAATTCTTTTAAGAAATTCTACCATCAGACCTGTCATTATCTACCTATGAAAGTTAGGTCATGTTCTTAAAAATTTGAATCACAGGACAAACTGCTTCTTCCCTCTAAATTTTAGAACTACTAAATAATCTAAATGCTTAGAGTAGGCCAAATTTCACTGTGTTGCTTATTAACCACTAAGAAGTGTTTGCTAGGAATTAGATTATGAATAAATCAATCAGAATTTGATATTTTTACATATAAGAATCTGCGTTCCACTTAACTTCCCGGAACGTGGCTGCAGCTGGCAGCTTTCCTCCTACCAGTGTTGGTGAGAAATGTCTCTGATCGTATTCTGTACATGTGGCCTCTGTGCTTGGATCTTGTTAGCAATCCACACCTCCTCCTGTGTTCAGAAAGCCGTTTTATGCCTATCTCCATTTTCTTGTAAGTACCAACAATTCAAGTGTTGGGAATATAGAATCACTCTAGCAAACATACGTGGACTTGTACTACCCTCTACTGGTGGTATTACTCTTTAGAGCTCTGTATCCAATACAGTATATACATATTTTTTAATTAAATAAAATTTAAAATTCAGTTCCTCAGTCACACAAGCCACATTTCAGGTGCTCAGTAGCCACATGTAGATCGTGGCTACCATATCGGACAGCAAAAATATAGAAATTTTAATCTTCACAGAAACTTCTGTAGAAGAGTACTGCTTTAGATAATTGAGAGCAAGCCCCCAAAAAAGTCCACAGAGAATGTCCTGTACGACTCGGGAATACAAATGGCAGTGATACCTAATGCCATTGTGCGAGTACTTTGTATTTTATATTAATCCCAACATCCCTTTGAGGTAGACGTTAGTAATAGCCCCATTTTACAGGAAAGTTAATTGGCTTTCCCAAGGTCAAGTGGTGAGTGACAAGCCTTGAACAGGGCCAGTCTGCCTTCAGAGCGCATGTTCTTACCCTCTGCTGTATGTGAGGTTATGTTAAATGTGCCTTGTCTATAGGGCAGCCTTGCCTCAGTGAGGAGGATATTGGAATCCCTATAGTTCTTTTTTTCTCGGCATTTAACTATTAACACTTAACTGTTTGATTACAAAAAAAAATGTTTTAAAAGTTAATATTTTTCTATTCATTGATGTTAGCATAACATTGGTTTCCTATACAGCAGTCCTTCTCTCTATACCAACACACCTACATCCTGGTGTTTGTTTATTCAGGACAGTCACTCATCATCTTTTTTTTTTTTTTTTTTTTTTAAAGATTGGCACTGGCGCTAACGTCTGTTGCCAATCTGGTTTTTTTCTTCTTTTTTTTTAAATTCTTCTCCCCAAATCCCTCCAGTACATAGTTGTACATTCTAGTTGTAGGTCATTCTAGTTGTGGCATGTGGGATGCTGCCTCAGCATGGCCTGATGAGCAGTGCCATGTCCACGCCTAGGATCTGAACCAGTGAAACCCTGGGCCACGAAGCAGAGTGTGCAAACTTAACCACTCGGCCACAGGGCCGGCCCCTCCTTATCTTGACCTTGCCCCGCTGACACACACACACATACACACCACTCTCCTTGTATTAAGTTAATTGAGTCTGCCTTATGGGGGAAGCACAGAACAATTTTGAACATGTCTTTGTTTTAACTGGTACCTCCTTTTCCTGTGTTTCAGTGAAAAGCCAGAAGAAAACTCCTTGGTATCTGAGACACAGACAAGAAATGGTAATGACCTTTGCTGGAGTTTAGAAAGGATTAAGTAAGCATGGTTGATTTATATTATGATGGTGACTCTCTCATTTTCCAGAGTCATACAAAGCAGTTAAGGTTATTGCAGTGACCTTCTAACTATTCTCCTTGCCCTCCAGTTCTCTCTTCCTCACACTTCATCCTGTCCCCATCTCTCCCTCTGATGAATAACTAGAGGGAAAGACCAGGTCTTTCCACTTGTATCCTGTTACCTGGACTCAGTGTAATAGACACCCAAACAGTGGGATGAATGAGCAACTTCTCAAAGAGCTATCTTTTTAATGGAGAATGCTTAACTGCATAAGGGAGTATACTGGTTTCCTACCTAGATTTCATTTCTGTAATCCAGATTGCATAAATTTGTCAGGAGATATCAGTTTACACTCTCAGTGTAAATGAAACAAGGAAGACTGCCAAACCTCAAGTCAAAATCAATTGCATGGAAAGTAAATACATTTAAGCATTTTTAGGATATTAAAATCTATCTTATGAAGGTCACAAAAGTTATATTTGTATTGCCTGTAGGCAATCTTAACTTTTAGGGGTAAATAGTGATAGTAACAGGAAAACCAAAAGTATACATTGTCAAGCTTAAAATTTAAAAAGTAATAGGTCTCCGTTTTTTCTGATTGCCTAGTTTTGGTCATGACCCAGGGTAAAAATGAAATTGAGAATAAATAGGAAAAAAGCTCCTAGTGAGATCTATTTAATGAACCCATCCTTTTCTTTTCTAGGATCCCAAGGGCCGGGTCAAGGCACTTGGTGGCTCCTTTGCCAAACAGAAGAAGAATGGAGACAGGTCACAGAGAGTTTTCGGGAGCGGACCTCCCTTCGAGAACGGCAGCTCTATAAGCTCCTCAGCGAGGATTTCCTGCCTGAAATCTGTAACATGATTGCCCAGAAGGTATGCGGTGATTCCTCCCTCTATAGGAGGTAATCCAGCCATGTTACGTAAGGATTATTCGTTAGAGGTTTTGAATACATTCACCTGTCTCCTGTAAGTGGTATAGCCTCTATCTTCTCTCATCTGGAGTGTTAAAAGGGGACCTCATGCTACCCACTCTCCTTCACTGTGAGTCAGTAATTTAATTCTCCTTACCCCAAGAAGTCCTCAGTGCCCCCCACCCCCAGTACCACAAGGGCTTTTCAAATCTGGAGCCACCTTTCCTTCTGTAACATTCCTCAGGAAACATTCCCTGAGCCTGCAGCTGTCTCTCAGAGCACCCTGTGCGTACCTCTGTGTATATGCTCCCAGCTTTTTAAAATTGTCTTCTTATGGCCTCCCTCTCTCCCACTAAGCAGCAAGCTCTGAAGAATCCTTGTCGCTCCAGTGCCGGCTCTTTTCCCAACTGGACCTGAGCTCTATGTGTCGCCTCCTCCAGCTTCAAGGCAATTTGTTTCATAAACCATACATCCTATATTTTCATACATATACACCCTAGTTCATGACTTTTTCCAACATCTTTCCCCTGTCTGCCCCACCCATTCGAATACTATTTCAAAAGCCCCATTTTAAAGCTATCTCCATGAGCCATCCCGTTTCTCCCAATCTTAGGATTCTCTTCCCTAACATGTTTCCTCATCCCTCACTTAATTTCACTGTGAGTTGTTTAAGCATCTTCAGATTAGGGACCATGTCTTACTCATCATTTTAAACCCCCACAACACCTGTGTGATGCCTTTTCTATGGCAGATGCTCAATAATTATTCAGTTTGCTTATTTCGTAATTCTAATACTCCTGATTGTTAATACATGTTAATAGAAGACAAAAACTTGACCACCTGCCCATGAAATCTGAAGAGAAAGTATTTATAAATTATTGCTGCAGTACCTTTAGAGAAGTAAAAAATGATAAATATATTATTTAATTTGTTGTGAATCCAATGATATTTCTAACCATTAAGCAAGTTGATGCTTTAGGGAAAATTCTGGAAATTCACCTTTCTCTAATAGCGAGAACTTACAAATAGTGCTTCAAGAATTACGTTTTCATGGGGCCGTTCCAGTGGTGCAGTGATTAAGTTGACATGCTCTGCTTTGGCGGCTCAGGGTTTGCAGGTTCAGGTCCTGAGTGCAGACCTACACACTGCTCATCAGGCTATGCTGTGTTGGCATCCCACATACAAAATAGAGGAAGATTGGCACAGATGTTAGCTCAGGGCCAATCTTCCTCACACACACACACACACACAAAAAGAATTACATTATCACAAATGAGCAAAAAAGTCTGCATTTCCCCATCAATATACTTAATTCCATACACTATAATTACACGTAGTTTTTGTGATCTGTGGCTCACCGTGATGCTTTTTCCAAGAATTGAAATATATAATCTAATTGTTTAACTATTTTATAGAGATGGTTTTATAACTTTATGTAATCTTTTATGTGACTTTATTGCTAGGACTGATGATGGCACATTAAATCATCTATAAGGCGTATATCTAAACATGCTTAAACCTTCTTTTATAATTTCTGCTTTTTTACTGCAATGTTCAACCTGAGATTTTTTTGGATAGGATAACTAAGAGGAAAAAACCTACATGCATAAAGCTGATGGTTTTGATGCAAAAAATTTCAAGAATTGACTCTTTGCAAGAGAAGAAAAAATTAAGATAAACCTTAAATATAATTCTCAAGAACCATGAAATCAGAAACCAAAAAAAGAAATAATAAATTTGATATTTTGAGAACTGTGCAGTGCTCTAAATTTGCAAACCTCAGTGAAATGGGATGTTGATTACCAAAAAAAGAGAATCTAAATTGTGCAATAGAAAACCATAGCGGACCTGTCATTGGGGAAGAAGAGTTTTCACAAAAGAATCCCGTGAAAAGCTCCAGAATTATTTGGATTTATTCACAGGTAAAATTTTCTAAACCTTCCAGAGAAGATAATCTCCAAGCATGTCAAAAATGAAGAAATAGGTAGCTAACCTGTTCATATAGTATTGGTGTCTTAGATCCCTATTCCTCAGAAAATTAAACACACTCTCCTCATTCAGTAGTATAAATATCAACTCCTTGATACTGACAAGTAAAACCATCACTTCACCTAAAGAGTAACAACTCAGAACCCAGCAGGGTTAAGCCTAAGTCTGTAGTGCTGGTAATATTGTTTTGGAAGTCTTGTCCAGTGTAATATAACAAAAAAGAAGAGAAGAGGCAAAGTTTTAGAATGTTTTGCCTGGAGTAATGTAAATCCACTTATAAAGTCGATTGATTAGAACTTAGTAATAATACCGAGTAACTAGATGTCCTGCATCTGAATCACCTGGCGTGCTTAGTAAAAGCTCAGATTCCTGTCAATGCCCTGCCCCCAGGCCCCGCCAGAAGGTCAGAGGTGGTGTCTGTTAACCTGCAGATGTAAAAGCTCTTCAGGTGACTCTTGTGCATCCTAAAGTTTAAATATCACTGAAAATAAACCCATTTACAGTAGCAACAAGACAAATTTTGCTGTGAATCTAACTAGAGTTGTGTGTAGTTGATAAGAAAGAAAAAGCTACAAAACTATTAGACATGTTTTTGAGGTCTCAATGTAAATATATTAAGACGTCTCTTTCTGGAAAGAAAGACTAAGTTTGGGTGTCAGTATTCATCAAGATAAATTGGGATTCATTATAACCTTAGCCAAATCCTAGAATGATAAAGATTTTCCTCCTAAATACCAGGTGAATGTAAATATTATAAGGTGGGAGCAGTGGGATAACTAGTCCTACCATGTATAACCACATAGATCAGTATGTTAGAAGCATCTCAAGGAGCTTTCATTTAATAGACCAGCTATCATAAAGGATTTACTCAAGGCGGGACACAAGTATGAACTCCTCACAGTCTGCTGAACTTGGCCTTCAGCAGAGTTTTATGTTCATCAACGGTTGTAATATTTTTGCCAACCTGTTGTATCCATTGTAACTTATTACTGAATTTACACAATTAAATATCATGAAACCAATAAAGTATGAGCATAAAAATTTCTGTAAAAAGTTTTTATTAAAAAAATCATTAAAGATCAGTTGCTTCTAAAAAGTTGACTGTCAAATTAGGGTAAAACAGTAAAGACTGGATGGGAAAGAATTGTTAAAATCTTAAGATTTCTGTATTTGGATTACAAATGTCCTTAACATCTCACTTTCACTTAAAAAAAAACTAAACTAGAGGGAAAAATAAAGGAGTAAGAGGGTGATTTATATGAAAGAATCTCAGGAAACCCCTCTCGATGGGGCCCTCCATGTAGGATTGGTGAGTGACGGAACATTTCTACATTGTTAAAATAAGTGCTTGAAGTATATACATTTTCTAAATCCCTTGCTTTAACTGTGTTAACCTACCACTACCCATCCTACTTGTCTTGGCCAAAAGTAGTTTGCTCTGATAATGAAGAAAACCTATGATTCAAATCTGGAATTGAGACGCATATCAGTAAAATAGAATGTGATGCTTGCGTATGAAAATGTAGTATGTAAAGCAGTCACAGACACCTGGAACGATGGATGAAGGCTAATGTGTGGTATGGTGGGAGTGACTAGCTTTCCCTTCAGCTTCTATAAATTATAGTGCTGCCCTTTTCTTAGCTATCCCTTTGGATAAGTTACTTGATATCTCTGAATTTCACTTTTCTCATTAGTAAAACAAAAGGCCATAACTCCACAGAATTTTTCTGGGAATGAAAAGACCCACGTCATCATAGTACCTGGTGTAATACTTAGCAGTCACTGGGCACTTGGTCCCTTCCATTTTTTATGGTGGTGGATAATCGATGAGAAATTTTGGTAGAAAACTATGTCCACGCTTCTTACCAAAATGAGTACAAGTCAGAAGAGAGGTAAAGCAGATAGGATGAATTGTAAAGATGTGACAGCCCTGTAAACTTTAAAGGAATAAGAGAATCAGAGGTGAGGCCTGCTTTGACCATATAAAGTTAAATTTTTATGGTAAGATTTAAATAAAGGGGACGTAGACGAGTAAAAATATTTTTGCTAATCTTACAGACAGTAGTCTTTAGACAGCTTATAAGCATTAGATCTTTAACAAGTAAATTGATTAAGGGTATAGATAATTCACACCAAAGATGATAGTAAAGTACAGAGGAAAAGGAGCTCACCTTCTGTATCAAGAACACCACTTTTCCTTGATAGTAACTTTCATCTGATTTGGCGCAGTTGGAACCAGACTGTTATTGACCTATTGCTAGTGGCAGGGAAACTGGCATGATCTCTTTGAAAGGGAGTTCCGTGGTAAGGTTTTACGTTTTTTTTTTTTAAGTTGAAGACTCTTCCTGTTGGGGTCTTAAAGATTGTAGAGGGGTTGCTCACAGGCACATTAGAGAAAACTGCTGGGGTAGCTTTTGGGAAAAGGAGGCTCATGGCACCTCGGACAGTTGGGGTTGCATTTGAGTAGGCCTAGTCATTCTCATAACAGAAAAGCTTTCTAACGCTCTGTCTCATTAAATCAACTGCCATTGTTGTGCAGTATGTTTACAATGTATAAACCACCCCTGTTTTCATTGAGTTTTTTATCCTTTGTTGCTTTACCTGTTTGATTCTTCAAGTCTGAAGATTTTTGGTTAAGTGATGCCAGAACCAAACCTGGATAGTGCTGATACTGATACTGAAGCCACAGAAATTACTCATCTTAGGGGCCGGCCCGGTGGCTGAGTGGTTAAGTTTGCGTGCTCCGCTTTGGCGGCCGCAGGTTTTCCTGGTTCGGATCCTGGGCGCAGACATGGCACTGCTCATCAGGCTATGCTGAGGCGGCGGCCCATATACCACAACCAGAAGGACCTGCAACTATAATATACAACTAGGTACTGGGGGAATTTGGGGAGAAAAAGAAAAGAAATTACTCGGCTTCAAGACCCTTGCTTTACTACCTCTTAATAGTACTTCACAACGATGAAGCTATGGGGCTTATCCCACAGAAACAAAACTTAGATTGGCCATCAAAATGGTTGCCTAGCTTCAGACAGTCCTCACACTCCTCCTCTGAATTCCCTATGGCGCTCACTTTCTAGCCTCTGCAGACTTCTCAGGGCTCAGCCTCTCAGGCAGGCTCTGATTCCTGCTGGTGAGTCTTTCCCTTCTCTGTCTTACTCCTTCTGACCCAGCCCGGGCAGCTCCTCTTACTTCTCACTGCTGCCACTGAACCGCCTCGACAGGGATCTCTGCCGTCTGCTGCTTAGACGCCCTCTTTCAGAGCCATTCCTGTCAACTAAAGGTGATCAAGCATGGCTTTCCCTTAATAATTTGAAACAAAATATTTTTTTAAATGTTTAAACAAACAGTTAAGGGTATTTCTTGCCAGTCATAAAGATTGACAAAGGAGACACCTGGTGTCTATGAGTTGTTCTGGTTTTGTTTTTTTAATAGAATAAACTGGCTTGGTACCTTGTGGAGTTGAATAGTCATCTTTACTGACTGTCCTAAGGATACCTTTGGCCCTTTGTAGGTAAAGCCATCACCTATGTGCCTTAAAGGCCACTTTTCTACTGGCGGCAGCAGTGGCAGAAGCTGAGAACACCCTAATCTATCTCTTCCTTTCTTTTCCTCACTTCTGACCATAGGAAAAGCGTCTACAGCGCACAAAGGCAGAGTTGCAACCTAGGTGGATGTCTGACCACCTGTTCATCAAATCCATCAAGCGAGAGGTGAGTGTGTGTGACAGTAGAGAGGAATTTTAAGTGTTCAGAAAGGATTGTTCCATTTTATTTTGTGTACTCCTTTTAGTCCTAATTCTTTATTTACATCATTTTTTAAAATCTCAGACCTTTATAGGGCATTCTTATACATAAAATGCATTTCTAGAAAGAGAAGGAATGATAAAAATAAGACATGAGTTCAAACTCTTGGATATTACAATCTCCTGGAATGATAAGCACATCATATTTAATTTCATATAGATCAGAATGATAAGTATCATAGTAAATATATATGTAATAGAAGTTCATGAATGCAAAGAGGTAAGGAATTGGAGCTGGCCAAAGAAAGGAGAGTTGGGACAGGCAGAGCTATATTTCACCTGAACCCGATAGGCTGGCTAAGATTTTGATGGTAGACAGAGAGGGTGGAGGAGTAATATGCAGGAGTAATGAAAACAAAAGCCCAGAGGATGGTGCATGCAGTCAGGCGCCACATAATGCTGTTTCAATTAAGGATGGACCACATGTACGACGGTGGTCCCATAAGATTAGTACCATATAGCCTAGGTGTGTAGTAGGCTCTACCGTGTAGCTTTGTGTAAGTACACTCTATGATGTTCACACAACAATTAAATTGCCTGACGACACATTTCTCAGAACATATCTTTGTCGTTAAGCGACACGTGACTATAATATGGTCAAAGAGCAGCGTGTATTTGGATGTGGCTAGCATATAGATATACTATAATGTAAAGTGGAAGAAAAGGCTGAAACAGATTTTGGAGTTCCCTGACTATCGTGCTTATATCTTCCATAGGCAGGCAGAAGTAAGGGAGGTTATATCATTCGATCTTTGTTTTAGGAAGATACGTCTCTGGTCACTCCATGATAAATGATTTTGTAGGGAAAAACTGGAAGGTAAGAAAGCAGTTAGTGAGCAGTCCTTCCAGCAGGCACTGGCAGTTAGAATCCCTCCTATTGGAAATGCGGGGTCTGGAATAGAGGAGGAGATGACCTTTGAGCCGTAAAAACATTTCATTAGAGAATGGTAGCTATGAAAGTTCAAGTTGCAAGAAGTTGACTAGTTAATAAAAAGATGGATTCTTATTGATTATCGTGTTGTGTCCTTTTGAGAAGTATGATGATGAGAGAAAACAAATCATGAAAGGGTAAAGAGGCAAGATTGTGGAGAGCTTGTGGCAGGTTCCTTTTTTTTCCTAATTTGGAGGTATAGCATGGACATGAAAGATATCCAAGTGAGGAGCGTGGATGTTGCTGACTCGTAAGGTGAAGGGCCTACAAGCAGGTTCGCCATGGAGTAGAGTTGCTCACGTTTCTCCTATGTAAAGACAAACTTTTGAGGTGGCAAGGAAAATATCAGGAGTTCACGTTGGATGTCCGTCTGTTCTCTGAAGACAGACAGGGCATCAGGTGGTAGTTGAGATGCAATGTTCGGTGAAAAGAGGATATTTGGGGCAACAACTAGGTATTAAAAGGATTTACCAAGCAGCATCCAAGAGCCAACTGTTTGGTGTTTTCATTTTGTGACAGTTCAGAGTAGTTAAATGACTTTATCTAGCATCACACTTATAGGAAGGGACAAAATTGATACTTATATTTACTGAGATTTAAAATTTGGCAAGATGGGAGTGGAATGAGGCCTAAGGACCCTGGATCACAGGTAAGGATATATTTGATGATGGAATCAAATAGGAGAGTAAAGTGAAGGAAGAGGCCAGGAATAAGAGAGAGGCAGGCAAAATGGGGGTGTTGGGTGGCCTCTTCTCACTCTGAGGGCTGCAGAAGCTGCCTGCGCTCCCACACCTCCACCTCGCACACCTCCCCCTCTCACTCTTGTCTTTTACCTGAGAAGATTTTTCTCTGTTGATTGCTAATCTAACTCTCATGTCCAGACTCAGTGCTGGCCAGTTCTCATGCTCTCTCCACGTTTTAACCACTTCACTTGTTGCAGCTTTACATTTCACCGAACACTAAACAGTGGAGTGGTCGCAGCAAGGGTTACCTTGGGTTGACTCTAGACCATGTCTTTGGCTGGCCTTACAGTGTGGAACCTTCTTCCTGTCCCGCAGTGATGTTTTCATGGCTTAAATTGAAGTGACAATGTGATAGTACATTACAGAGATGATGGCATTAACTAAGTGTGTTCTACCCTGAAAAGGGAGAAACTATAGATTTGTATTTACTTCAGTATATTTGGACAACTCTTTTTTTCAGTTCATATACCTGTTCTGCCAGGGGATAAATTGCCCAACATGTAATAACTCTGGATTGGCAGCTCCAGAAGGACCGCCCTCGCTCTCCCCAGCGCAGCAGCTGGTTCTGAATGGCCCTCATGGCTCATGGCCAGCCACAGCTCTCAGATGGTTTTCTGGTTCCTCTTGCTTTCTCGGGTCCTCTCCACCATCTCTGTCACTTCGGAACCAGCACCTCTTTGGAAGCTCTCCTTCCTGCTCTGACCGCTCTGGCCTGAGTGCCCTCGTTTACATTTCAGATTGCACAGTTGTCTCAATACAGACCAAAAGTTCTTCATTGCTGCAAGCAAAAGCTTAGCTTCAAACGCTAAAAGGTTCTTCTTTTAGTTCTTCTTGGGAGTGATTTTTTTCCTTTTTTCCTTTCTTTTTTTCCCCTTCTCTTTAGTTTTAGTTACAGGTAACCATGGAATTATAGAGACTCTGAGTATCTGTAATGGTACCAAATATACTGCAGAAAACCTTAGTGTGGGCAGAGTTTTGTGCTTTTTTGTTTAAACAGCAGAAAATCTTCAGGCCTTTAAAGCCTTACAGGCAGGGTTTCTGACGGATAGTGATAACCCAGGAGTCCAATCTTCTTGCCTCCAAAAGTCTTTTAATTGTGACTCCTGGAGAACATAGCAGTGGAGAGAGATTGTCTCTCTGAACCCCGGGATTGGGGCTGCAGGGGTTATTTTTACCAGGGGATCTGGACATTGCTGTTGCTCGGGAGCTCATTGTGGTGGTACAATCTCAAGTGTGCTGCTAAAGCTGGCAAGGCTGCCAGGGAGTCTGATGACCTGCCCTTGGGGGAGGGGAGCACGGAAGGGGAGGCCTGGGCCCTGCTTCAACCGGAGATTTTATTTGTAGTCCTGTAGAGTATTTCAAAGTGCTTCTCATTAAAATCCCTACTTGATTCTAGCGGGCCTCTTTCTCGCCTATATAGCCTTTAAACACCAACCCACACCCCATTTGCAACTGACTCCATTTAAAGAAAGAAAAAATTGCAGTGTAAGATACTGTTTTTTATCTCTTCAGTTTTTTGTACAGTTTTTGTTCACTTGGTTGTACTTGTTTTTTAAATTATTAGTGTTCAAACTGTTTAAGTTTAAAACACTACTGGAAGTATCTTTGGCTGGTGAGTCCTGGGCTTTAGTGGTGAGTGTTTTCATTAGTACTTGCTTTACCCAGGGGTGGTGAGCTGCTGAAAATTAGCACAGAAATTTTAAGACAGACCCTTGGTGCACAACATAGATTTTTTTCAGATGTATATGATACAATTTATATAAAATAATTGTTAAATTCATATCAGATGGGAACTGCTGAAATTATAACACATTATGATGAAAGAGAAAAGGGCATGAGAAGGTTTCTATTGAAGAAGTGATGAAGCAGTACTGCTGGGTAGGAGGTCTGGGGAAAGTGATCAGAGAACAGGTGGAGTGAGAAGTGGAGGTTGAGTTTGGGGTGGAAACACAGGAAAGAGGCCACGGTGGGCACTGGTAGTCAGGCCAGTGCCAGTTCAGGGGCTTGACCTCCTTTCTTGCCCCTCAGCTTCAGTGGACATTCTGGGAGCTTTAAGTTTATTTTTTAAGATGCTATAAATTCGAGTGACTCAATTGTTACATCTTAACTGCTTAGCACAAATGTTAATGTATTTTAAAAACAACTAGACACATATCGTATGATCCCATTTATGTGAAATACACAGAGTAAGTGAATCCGTAGAGACAGAAAGCATTTTGGTGGATGCCAGGGGCTGGGAGAGTCGGGGAGCGACTGGTTAATGGGGCTGGTTTCAGGGTGCTGTAAATCTTTGCAACTTGGTATAGGTGGTGGTTGCACGACGTTGTGAATATACTAATTGCCACTGAAATGTTCACTTTAAAATCGTTAATTTTATGTGACTTTCACTTCAGTTAAAAAAACTTATTTGAGGTAATCTTTACATATCTTTTAAAATGATGTAGAGCCTCTGACTTAGCAGTAATCATTTACATTTATGATTTTCCCAAGTTTTAAAATTCCTGCTTCATTGTTATCAAAATATCTTCAGCTGTCATCAGTTTTTAATACATCACCTTAAAATTTAAAAATTCTAAGCTTTTGGTACTTGAACATTTTAATTTTAGACTGTTAACAGGGATCACATAGTGGAGGGAGTAAAAAGTTAATAAAATTAGATCATTTTATAACATGTAATACAAGTTGATTTTCCCCAGATCACTTGGGAAGTGATTGTTCTGGGTCCAAAAGAATGTCCATGCTCTTGAAGAAAATGGGAGATGACACGTAGAAAAATCCCCGCAGTTCAGGAATCATCACTATTTACATTTTTACATGTTTGCTGCAGGCCATTTATGCATTTATTACAAATCTGGGATCATATTGAATATTATTTTGTGACCTGTGTTTTTTATTGAACATTGTGAGCATTTTCATGTTACATTAGATATTCCTCAGAAACAGAATTTTTAGTGATTGCATAGTGATGATTATATAATTTCACCTATTATTAAACATTTAGGATATTAACAGTTTTTCACCATTTTAAATAATGTTGGCTTAAACCTACTTATACAAATATTTTGCTTATCTCATTTTTAAGATAAAATTACAGAAATGTTGGGGCCGGCTCCGTGGCCAAGTGGTTAAGTTCGCGTGCTCTGCTGTGGCAGCCCAGGGTTCGGATCCTGGGCGCGGACATGGCACCGCTTGTCAGGCCACGTTGAGGCGGTGTCCCACATCCCACAACTAGAAGGACCTGCAACTAAGATAGACAACTGTGTACGGGGGGGGGGGGGGGGGGTTGGGGAGATAAAGCAGAAAAAGAAAAAAAAAAAGATTGGCAACAGTTCTTAGCCTAGGTGCCAATCCTTACAGAAAAAAAAAAATTACAGAAATGTAATTACTCTGTTTAGGGTTCCTGATACATATATCCAGATTGTCCTCCCGAAGACCTCTTCCCCGACAGGTTGATAACGTTCATTTTACCACATCTCTGCAATCACTTTTATCATCTTTAGCAGTTTTGTAAATGAAAAGGTTGTTTTACTTTCCTTTGATCATTGACATGGTTTGTCCATCTTCTGTGTATTCAAGTTCCATTTGATGGGGAGGGGTGCTACTGTTAATTGATTTGTAAGACATCTTTACATGTGAAGAATAATAAGTTATTGTCATATTTGTTGCAAAAAAGAATTATATAGATATTCTTAAGATTTATGTAATTATTTTTTCCCTTTTTCCCCCTTTCATTGACTTAATGCGTAAAACTCAGATGACTCTTTGGCGACTTAACATTTCTATTCATAAGTCAACGGCTTGCATTTCATTAGTCCTTATTCAAATGCTGGTCCTGTTTCATATCCCATAGTACTGGTTGAAGGAAGAATATTTCACATGTTTTCACCTGCCAACCTTTGTCAGGGAGGGACAGAATACACACACATTATCATTATTTTATATATATGTAAATAACTTATGGTTTTTATACATGCCTCTTTTTTCTCTCCTTTTTCATTGTGTCTGATGTGTAGAAAGCACTATAGTTTTCTTTGAAATACGGTCATACCTCGCTTAAGAAGAGGGATACCTTCTGAGAAATGTGTTAGCCTATTTCGTTATTGTGTGAACATCATAGAGTGTGCTTACACAAACCTAGATGGTGTAACCTACTCACACCTAGGCGTATGGTCCTAATCTGTGGGACCACTGTTGTGTATGTGGTCTGTCATTCACCGAAATGTGGCTATGCAGTGCCGTGACAGTGATTCCTTTCTCAAAGCTTAGTTTTCCTCTGTCTTCTCCCTTTCCCCCACCCTATCAATTGATATCTTAGGGGTATCTCCTTGGAGTCACTGTACAGCTGAACGGAGCAAAGGCAAATTGGTTCATTAACTGTAGTTTCACCCTGACTTCTCAGCTGAGTGAAAATGTTGCCGGCCCCATGGCCGAGTGGTTAAGTTCGAGCACTCCACTTCGGCGGCCCAGGGTTTCGTCGGTTCAGATCCTGGGCACAGACATGGCACCGTTCATCAGGCCATGCTGAGGCAGTGTCCCACATGCCGCAGCTAGAAGGACCTGCAACTAAAAATACCCAACTATGTACCAGGGGGCTTTGGGGAGAAAAAGGAAAAATAAAATCTTTAAAAAAAAAAAAAAAATGTTGCCAAAAAGTTGGGATAAGTGTGGCCCTGGGGGGTGGGTACTTCTGGAATGCAGGGAAGGTGCTTAACTGGCATTCAAGAGGCCATAGCTAGAGATGCAGTCCTGAGAACAGTCCTGCTTAGTGCCAGGACCATCCCCGTTTCAGAAACATCATCTCGCATGTCTAAACTGCCTGCTCTTAGATGAAGATTTTAGGAAGCTTTCTCTAATTTTGTTTGGGCAGCTGCTGCTCCTTATGAGTACAGTGTTATGTGTGCAATATTGTTAATTTTTTTGTTTTATTTTTCTCTCTCCTCTCTTATTCACTCCACATTTTTACCTTGCAGGTGGCAAACTCTTTTAAAGTCAGGCTCATAGACTTTTAATGATAAAAATTACTTTGAGGGGCTGGCCCCGTGGCTGAGTGGTTAAGTTCATGCGCTCCGCTGCAGGCAGCCCAGTGTTTCGTTGGTTCGAATCCTGGGCGCGGACATGGCACTGCTCAAACCACGCTGAGGCAGCGTCCCACATGCCACAACTAGAACGACCCACAACGAAGAATATACAACTATGTACTGGGGGGCTTTGGGGAGAAAAAGGAAAAAAAAAATTTTTTTTAAAAATGACTTTGAGATCTGCTGTCAGGGAAGATCGTTTCCAAATTCTGAGTCAAATGAGAGTCTAGACTGGTTTTAAGAATCATAAAGAAAATAACATGAAATTGTGATCAGAGTAGTTTGTGTTTAATGATGACTTATATAAATGGCAATCTGCATTCATCTTTTTTCTCCCCACATGAAGACTACTTATGCAGTTTCCCTGATATAAAACTTTTGAAAATTTATCTGGCGTGGAAGATTCGTAGGTGGTCTTCCTATTGAAAAGATCTGTTAAGAAAAGCTTCACATTCCTGATTAAGTTTCACCTAAAATGGGATGGTTAATTTTACCTTTTCTGTGAGGTAATGTGAATTCTCCCTGTGCTGACACCTGATTCATTTTTCTGTATCTCTGCAGCGTACGCTCTCTACTGCAGGCAACAGTTACTACCTCATCAATAACAATTTCAAAAAATTGAAAATTGTAGCTTTCACATCAGCACAAAAGTCAAGGGAAGAAATTATAAATAATCTATCTCAGTCCTAGCTTCAGTGTTCTGGGCTAAAGAATGGCTCAGAAATTAGTTATGTTGGAAAAATGTGCAGAGTAAACTTTCATAAATTAATGGCAGTAGTGGTTCTGTTTTCCTGTCTTTACTTTTCCTTTCAGTAAATTTCTTAGTCACATTCCCAGTGACCACCTGATGATATAAATATGGTCACCTTCATTTCTTCTCTGTATTTTAAAGGAAAGTGGTGGCCCTTCCTACCAAACCCCCAGTTTTAGTTAAAAAAAAAAAACTATGAAAGTTAAGGGTTTCAAAGTTATGTACGTTATTGAAGGTGTGAATCTGTGTTCTCTCTAGTGGCTATCTGTGATCCTTCTAGTTTACTTAGATGAAGATACTTTTTAAGATTTCACTTTTACCAAATATTAAGTCTGTAAGAATTGTGTCTCTGAACTGCCTCAGTGTGTCTTCTCTGGTTCATCATATTCTTCATAAGATTATCTTCCAAAGACTACAAATTATGTAAATCATTGGGCCCAAAAGTTTTACCCTGTTTTAAATCTCCATTCTTTTAATGTTTCTATATATATAATGTTTATATATGTTTATATACATCCATACATTTTTTCTTTAGATGATAACATCAATTTGTAGTTATGATATAAATTCTGTAGCTATCTAGTATTATTTATTGAATAACTCGAGTTCAATAAAAATTTAATCTTAACTCAAGGCAAAGAACTAATGTTACCTTATTGTGTATTGACCCTGTACACTTCCTGGCTCCTCACAGGAGACACCTGTGCTCACCAGAATAGAAAAACAGAAGCGCAGAGAGGAGGAAGAAGAACGGCAGATTCTTCTAGCAGTGCAGAAGAAGGAGCAGGAGCAGATGCTAAAGGAGGAGAGGAAACGAGAGTTGGAGGAAAAAGTCAAGGCAGTGGAAGGTATGTGGGTTTTCTGTGCAGTCTGGAGAGCTGCATGTGGTGTGAGAATAGCCCTCCTGGAGCCAGAGCCACACCAAACTAGGTTCTAGCATTTGTCTAAGCTATTTCGCTCTAAATCTCTCGTCAGTTGTATTCTGTCTTATTTATGCATCTGGATCCAGTCTTCTTGCCGTTGCATTCCTGCTAAGGTACTTGTGCTTGTCATTCTTGGGATTCCTTTCAGGCTCTTGCTTGTTTGCTCTCATCTCTGCCATGTCCCTTGTGTGGAATAGCAAAAAAAAAAAATTAAGGTATTGATGACAACTAATTTCACAGAAATAATTTTGAACACAAATGAAATGTGCTTAAGAAAAAGTCTTAGAGATTTTGTTCAAGTATGGCACTATACAAATCTAGGTATTACCCATTAGTATTATGAGGGCACATAGTTTTCTCGGGCTTAGGTCTGGGTCTTAGTCTTAGTGTACTATTTTTCTTTCATTTGTGGTTAAAGCAGAGGATACCAACCATCTCTAGGTGTGTTAGCAGCCATATTTACAAGCTGTACCCGATAAACCTTGTGAAAACCAATCATTTGGCTTGGTTGAATACAGACTAATATTTCTTTTCTTTTAAATAAATGTATTGAACTTTTTGAATTTTTGAATACAACAGCATAATATGGATTCAACTTTTTTAATGCAGTGTTTCAATGAAAAATTATAACAAATTTTGGCTATTTAAAGGATTCTGGCCTTTTATATGCATTTTTACTCCCATTCCTAAGTAGTGCCTTATGTTTCTTAATAGGCTAACCTGATTCCTACCTCAATCATTTCTTCCTTCTAAAACCCTTAGTGTTTAATCGACATATTTATCCTGTGCCACATTATGTATTATATTCTACTTGTAAGATTTTGCATACGTTTTATTTCCGCTGCTAGATAGAAATTCCTCTAGAAGGTAACTATGCCTTGCATTTCTTTATAATTTTCAGCAGCATTCTTCTTGGGTGCACTATGGTCATTTAACCTTAATCTATACAGACAGGTTCAAAACTTATTTTTGTGGTTTAGTTTCTATACCTGTAAGATCAGTCATGCTTATGTTATACATTTTTGTTTAAATCAGCAAGTATTTCTTGAGCCACCTGTTCTGTGCTAAGCACTCTTCTAGGAATTTGGTAGTAAAACTCCTTTCCTGGAGCTTACATTCTAATGGTGGGAAGACAGAGAATAAACAAATATTGTAGAATCATAGATAGTGGTAAGAGATCTCAAGAAAAATAAAACTGGTTTAGAAAGAAGGAGCATCGTGTTATAAATGGCATTTAAGTTAAGATTGTTAAGAAGCCCTTCTCGGGGGCCAGCCCGGGGTGCAGCGGTTAAGTTCGCATGTTCCGCTTCTCAGCAGCCTGGGGTTCGCCAGTTCGGATCCCGGGTGCGGACATGGCACCACTTGGCAAAAGCCATGCTGTGGTAGGCGTCCCACATATAAAGTAGAGGAGGATGTTCATGGATGTTAGCTCAGGGCCAGTCTTCCTCAGCAATAAAGAGAGAGATTGGCAGTAGTTAGCTCAGGGCTAATCCTCCTCAAAAAAGAAAAAAGAAAAGAAGGCCTTCTCGGAAGATGTGGCACTTAATAATTAAATGAGTGAGGGTGCCGTATGAATATCTGATGGAGAAGAGCCCTGCAGTCTGGGGTAACAGCAAGTGCAAAGGCACTGAGGTGGGACTGTGTGGCAGGAGGCCCGTGTGGCTGGGTCAGAGTGAGCAGAGCAAGGAGAACGTTGGCAGGAAATGGTTCATAGAGGTAATGAGTCAGGTCATGTAGGGCCATGCAGACCTTGTTAGAAGGAATAAATGAAAGGACAGTCCCTAGCACACAGCAAGCTCACAGTGATAGTTATCATGGAGGAAATGTGGAGAGAATTTTTACAGGCTATAAAATAGTTACAACAAGAAACTTTTCCTGACTTCTTGGCAGCTAAGTTAAAAAAAAAAAAAAGGAAATAATAGATTATTTACTGATAGGAGAATTTTAAGGTTTGTAACAGTTAACTCAGAGAAACAAGCTTTTTGTGACATTAAATTGTAAGAGGATTTTATTGTGTGGGTCCTTTTTACCATAACAGTATTGATTGTGTTGAGGGTGCATCAGAACATTTTTCATATTGATGTTTAAGATCTATCTATAAATGAAGCAAACGACTTAATGATTAGTTTTACTCGATTGTGTGCTTCTGTTCATACGCATTGTCCCACCGGTACTAGCAGTCAGTCACTAGGATGAGGGTCCCCTGAAATTGCTGGTAAAACTAATGTAATGTGACACATGAGCACATATTTCCAAGGAGAGGCTTGTAGCTTTCATTTGTTTAAAGAAATTTGAAAGAAGGGAAGTGGATTAAGAAAAAGTAGAAACCAAAAGATAGAAACAACCCAAATGTCCATCAGTGGATGAATGGATGCACAAAATGTGGTATAATTGGATTTCCACAGTGTAGTTGTTATCACCTTTGCCTCACAAAATGTGTCATGTACTTACAGTGGATTATTATATAGCCTTAAAAAGCAATGAATTGCTGATACGTGCTGCAGCAGGGAAGAACCTTGAAGACATGACACAAAGGGAAATAAGTAGGGGAGAGGGGACTGAATATTTACAATTTAGCAGATAGAGGTTCTGTTTGGGTTGATGAAAAAGTTATGGAAATGGATAATGGTAGTAGTTGTACAACATTGTGAATGTACTTAGTGCTCCTGACTTTTACACTTAAAATGGTTTAAAAAGGTACATTTAATATATTTTTTACTAAAATTTTTAAAAAGGAAAAGCCCAAATAAATGTGCTACTATTTATTGGTGTTGTCTTTGTGTAAAAAGGTTGTTACAAGAGACTGGACAATGGCGTAAATCTCCATTCTAAGTCGAGCAAGTCAGTTTGGAAATGGACATTATTGAGACTTTCTCTCAGTAGGGTTAGTAGGTAACCTAAAAATTATTCTTGCCATGGAAATTATATTTGTAATATATTATCTATATGTTATAATATTTTATCTCATATTGTATAAATACCCTTTAAAGAGCATATCTGAAATCTTAATCAAAGAAGAGTTATCAGGAGCTCTTTTTAGGGGACTAAAAGCAGCATCCAGAAAGTGAGCAAACTCTTAGGTTGAATTGTGGCTGCCAGGAGTGGTCAGTCTAGGTCAGTCTAGGACCTCTACCTTGAGAATGATAACCATAAACAAATCCCTGCAAAAGATGAGTAGAAAACTAGACTTTCAGAGCACACAAGGAAGCACCACTGTGAGCAGTAGGTGATACATGCAACAGACAAAGAAGAAATATATTTAGCATTATCAGATATAAAAAGGAAGGAATTGTAAACATAAGGGAAAAAATAACCTTGATGAAAATACAGGCAAATTCAAAGGAAACAAATAGAACTGCTAAAAATGTAAAGTATGGTTATTGAAATAATAATTGAATAACTGGGTTAACAGGTTAAGTACACATGAGAAAAGAATCAGCAACCTGGAAGATATATCTGGGAAATTATTACAGAATGCAGCACTGAGATAAAGAAGATAGACATGACGAAGGAAGTTACCTTTGGTTAATCATTCAGTGTCTGGTTATGAAAACAAAAACTACATATGGGTCCTTGGTTAAACAGAAGTTAGAGAAGTAAAAAAAAGTTAAAGGAGTTCTGAAGTAGCACCCCTAAAGCAAGGGAAACAAAGGGAAGAGGTTGGGGTTATCAGAACCTGGAAGTTGAGGGGCTGTGCAAAGTTGGACCTCTGACACCTGAAGATGGTGCCTCTCTAGGCAGGCAGCAACCTGCTTCTGGGACTACCAAAAGAACTGGGTTATCAGAACCAGCTGCCTCTCCACAGATGAAGGACCAATGCTGGGGTAGTGTTGAATGGCAACAGCAAGCAAACAAGAAGAAAGAAATCCCTTCTCCCCTCATCTTGCCTCTCATTCTCCCTCTAGTACTCCCTTTTGACAGAATAAAGCCAGCAGAGAATGGAGAAATGATGGATTTGGAGCTCATAGAAATAGCTTAATAACTGACTCAGGTGGTGTATAGCATGAAAGATGCAGTATGTGTCTACTATAAGTTCTAGAGTGAAACAACCAAGAGAATAGGCTAGAGAAAATATTCAGATGTAACGGTTGAGAATTTTTTTCATTTGATGAAAAACACGAATCCTGTGATTTAGAAAGCAAGAAGAGGACCAGCCCAGTGGCCGAGTGGTTAAGTTCACGCGCCTGCTTCGGCGGCCCAGGGTTTCACTGGTTCGGATCCTGGGCACAGACATGGCACCACTCATCAGGCCATGCTGAGGCGCCGTCCCACATAGCATAACCAGAAGGACCTATAACTATGTTCTGGGGGAGCTTTGGGGAGAAGAAGGAAAAAAAGACAGTTGGCAACAGATGTTAGCTCAGGTGCCAATCTTTTTAAAAAAAAAAAAATGGAACTTTCTTAACTAGTATCTAAAAAAAATCTGAACTAAACATTCTGTTTAATGGGGAACATAACAATTATTTCCTTTTAAAGTCAGGAAGAAAACAAAGATTTTCTCTATCATTGATTCTATTCCGTATTGTATTGTTTTGTAGGGATTTCTTCTCAACAAAGGAAAGAAATGTATGTATATATACATATGTATATATATTGTTTAGGAAATGTATGATTTCAAACTCCCAGGAAATAGTCAAGAAACTATTATAAGAATACAGCCAGGTAGCTAGATTCATTATTATTATTATACAACTATCAATATGAATAATTTTTTTTTTTTTTAAAGATTGGCACCTGGGCTAACAACTGTTGCCATTCTTTTGTTTGTTTGTTTGTTTTTCTGCTTTATCTCCCCAAACCCCCCCTGTACATAGTTGTATATCTTAGTTGCATGTCCTTCTAGTTGTGGGATGTGGGACGCCGCCTCAACATGGCCTGACGAGCAGTGCCATGTCTGTGCCCAGGATCCGAACCCTGAGCCGCCGCAGCGGAGCACGCGAACTTAACCACTCGGCCACGGAGCCGGCCCCACAATATGAATAATTTTTTTAAAGATAGCATGACCCAATAGCAACGAGCATGCCTAACACTCAGATGGTGGTCTCTAAATATAATTTCCCTCCAGAAGGAATGAAGACTCGGAAAATGACTGATTTCAGTACTAGGGCAGTAAAAATGTAAGATGAGCCTAGACTCTTTTATAATAGAAAGCAAAGAAGCATCAAAGACTCCTGGAACTCTGTCAAAAAGTATAGGAGCCAACCTGAAGGGGCTCTCGCTGGCCAAAATGGGACATTCCAAGCACTGAAGAAATAAAACAAAAACCTTAATAGATTACAAAACATCCAATGAGTTATAAATTCATGAGTTCATAATGATATTTTTTTAAAAATCAGTGATCACTGTAGGAGTTTAATGGGACAGCTTGTTATTCTGAAAACTGGTAAAATAGAGGAAAGAATCAAGTGTTTTTGTTTCCTTCTCTTTACAGACTGTATTTCAGAATATGCAAATAACTTATGAGGAAAAGAATTTGGTCAATAAATGTAGCAGGAATAATAGAATTTGAATAACAAATAATGGAAGACTGGATGTAGGCAAAGCTGCTCTCAACTAAGGTTTCAGGAGACTGTTGAGACCTAATGCCCTAAAGTAGAGATCCACCAACTTTCTGTAAAGGGCCAGAGGGTAAATAATTGAGGCTTGGAGGCCATATGGGGCTCTGTTCCCATAAAACCTTACTTAGGTATTTATTATTACACAAGCAGTCAGCTAGTCGCCCTACATGCTATAGTTTGCTCTTTGCAAACCCTGGACCCAAAGCATCCACTGCACGTAATGAATTAACTTCTCTTCTGTGTGTCTTTAGAGGTACTGAATACATACCTTGGAACTATTGAGAACACAGTCACAAAAATAATTTTCCCCGCGCCTTAATTCTGTCTTGGAACTCTGGTTAAACTTTGGGTGAAAGACCGATGAGGAACTTTATAATGGAAGGGTCAGGTTAACACTGATGAAATTTAACATAATGAAGAGAGAGAACCAGATCTATTTCTCCTGATATGAGGGAAAGGGAAATACACAGCATCACTTCTGAAATAGTATTGCCCCCAAGTCAAACCTGTTCGTCTGTTCAAAGCCTCTAGATGTAACTGCCAGTTTACAGGAGGTCCAAGGAGTTGGGGGGCACATTAACACCACAGTGAAGATGCCGTCAGCCAAATTCAGAATGTGGGAAGTTCTACAAAGACAAAATTACCAAGTTTCTCCACCAAATAAATTGGAGAGGATACTGTTAGAAATTCAACTAGATTTAAGAGACATATCAACCACATGCAATGTGTGGACCTTTTTTGAGTTGATTTGAACAAACCAACTTTAAAGAAAAGTATTGAACAAGTGGGAAAGTTTGACCCTGGCTCAGTATTTGCTGTTAAATAAATCGTTTTGTGTTCCTAAGATTCATACAGAAGAGCAAAGGACCAAGGATAGCCAAGATAATTTCCAAAAATGGTATGGTAGGGACATTCATTCTATCAGATGGCAAAATAAAAGCTACAGTGAATGAGAGAGAATGGTGTTGGCATGGAGATAGGTGATGAGACCATGAAATGGAATACCCAGAAACAGACCTTGGTAGGCATGTGGGTTCTTTAGTAAGTGATACAGTACCTTCGCCTACTGATGGGGAAAACAATTACATCTCTGCTTTTCATATAAGGATAAGTTCTGGATAGACCAAAGGCCAAAACCCTTTTGGAGAAAATATAGGTGAATATCTTCAAGATATAAAGAATTTATTAAGTATGAAAAATTCAAACTATAAGGGGAGAGAGATTGATATATTTGATTAGATTAATTGCTGAAAAGTTAAATATGGCAAAAACACTATAAACAAAGTGAAAAGACAAACTACAGACTAGAAGGTGATTTTAACACATAGTCAACAAAGACTTGTGATCCAGATTATTTAAAGCAATTCTTCAAATCAGTAAGAAATTCAGCAACCCAGAGGGGGAAAAACGCAAGGACCGTAAAAAGGAAGTTCACGGGAGAGGATGTTCAATGGCCAGTAAGCATAGAAGATATGTTCGTTCTCACTTTAATTAGAAAAACGAGAATGAGAACATCAGAATTCCCTGTGATAGTCATCAGTTTGGCAAAATGCTAAAATTTTATCAAGTGAGTGTGAGGTAGTTCAAATCACTATTGAAAGGATAGATGGAACCCTTTGGAAATCATTGACAGTGCCTGATAAAGTTAAGGGAGATATATATGCCTATGTCTGGCAATTCCACTGCTGGGTTGGTATCACAGAGAGCTCTCACACATGCATAAGAAGACATGTCAAAATAATGGTCATTATAATACTGTTTACAAAATGTGGAAAATTGCAGTCAACTAGAAAATGGATTATTAAGCTGTGAAGTACTGTATTCAAGTTAATAAGGTAAAAATGTTAGCTTTGACGGTTTGGTAGGTACGTGGGTATTCATTAATTTAGTTACACTTTTCTTTAAGCTTAAAATTGTTCTCTTAAAATAGTTTTAAATGTTTTCAATGGTAAAGTGTCTTTGTAATTAAAGCAGATGTCGGTCACTCTATGTTTACAAGTGGAGATAATGTAGGAGCAAAAGCACAGGTCAGTGGAAGTCGGCAGGGGTGCGCTATTGGCAGGGTCACGCCACACTCACAGCAGTGGACTGACGTGGAGTAGATCCTTTGGAGAAGAAAACAGGATCTTTCCTGGCTTCTCCTTTCCATTTTTGTTTCTTGCTGTCTGACAGTGTTCTTCGTCTCCCTGCCTCTTTTATTTTCTGACCTTCCTGTTCCCTGCTGGCAATGAGTGCCCCATGGAGCTGGTAGTGGAATGCCAAGTATGTTTCTCAGGGCCATGGCTATGAGCCAGAGAAAAGTCATCCGTGTCTGTCAACTCCTTGCCAGTTCAGCTGGCATCTTTCCTTTGTTCCCAGCCAAACTTAGTTCTACCATGGCTTGGTAGGGGCCATTGACCATGGCGGGGGTGGGTTGCAGAGCAAAGACAATTGGTGTGTGTGAATGCCTTTGTAAATGTGAAACCTTGAGAGCTTGGATGTGCATATAAAATCCTGTATGTATATTTGGATTGAGAGTGTGATCCTAAAAAACGGATGTTGCTTTTTTTGAGAGAAAGCTAGGAAAGCCTTAGGTAGTCAAAGAAGGATAATCCTCGTTCAATCTTCTATTTTTCCTTTTTCTTCTAATTCTGTTTTTCTTCTACCTTTCTCTTTCCCCACTCCCCATCCCACTGCCCACCCATATCTCCCTCATCCCCCAACTTAAACTCAATATGATGACTAAGGAAATGGGTCCCATTCGTTTATATTTTTCTTAAAAGCATTCCACTATGGAATCATCCTAATTACCAAAAAGAGGATGGAAAGAAAGCAAAAATAGTTTCCTAATACTACTTTGGTGATCTTTGTTTCTTCCTCCTCTCAAGATGGTTGACAAACATCTAATGGCCTAGAAAGCAGTTGACTCATGGTGCTGCGGTGCTTTGTGTTCACTGTAGATCGAGCTAAGAGGAGAAAGCTCAGGGAAGAAAGGGCATGGCTGCTGGCACAAGGAAAGGAGCTCCCCCCAGAACTTTCTCATCTGGATCCTAACTCCCCCATGAGGGAAGAAAAGAAGACTAAAGACCTGTGAGTGTTTAATGATACTGACAGTAACAGCCGGTCACATTTGCCAGGCTCTTTCTCGTTTAATCCTCAAAACAGCCCTGTGTGGAGGCAGCGCTCAGTGTCCACACGCTCCTCAGTCTAATGAGTGCTTTTTTGGATTATTATTTGTTACATTAAAAAAATTAAGTAGAGTAAAGTAAACCTGGAAAGAATTGTGCTATTAAATAACTGATATTATAGAATCATAAATTAAGTTCCAGATCATCTAGGCGAACCTCATCATTTTATAGATGAGGAAAATGATATTCCCTTTTTTACTAAGGTTTGCTAACTCTTATCTTTATAATTATTTCCTGGAGTGTTATCAGTGTTCCAGACTTATCTTTAGAAAAATTTATTGGGACTATTCCAAATCTTGTTGCAATCAGCGTGTGTCTGTGATTGGATTAAGGAACTAAGAGAAGGTGGTCAAAGTTACTATTGATTTCTTATTTTATGATTTACAGCTTTGAGTTGGATGATGATTTCACTGCCATGTATAAAGGTCAGTTTCCCATTCTCAACTATTGTATTTCTGGTAGAAGTATTCCCTAGTGTGCATGTGAACTAAGCTCTCTCCTGTGGCTCTCAGTTCTAGATGTGGTAAAGGCTCACAAGGATTCCTGGCCCTTTTTGGAGCCTGTGGATGAATCATATGCCCCAAACTACTACCAGATTATTAAGGTAGAGGCTGCCTTTGCAATTATACCTCCTATGGTATATTTGTCTTAATTTTGCGTTGTTGTTGTTTGTTTTGTTTTGTTTTGTTTAAGTTCATCTGTTGTTCCTTGAAAATCAGGGTCGCTGGGTATACACCAGGCTTTTCAGCATCTCGTAACAGCATGATTCCTTTGCCTCATGGGGACTATGAGATGTTTTTTTCTCAATCATGTGATAACTTAAGGTGTCCTATTTTAGGTCCCCATGGATATCTCAAGCATGGAAAAGAAACTGAATGGAGGTGTATACTGTACCAAGGAGGAATTTGTAAATGACATGAAAACTATGTTCAGGAATTGTCGGAAATACAATGGAGAAAGTAGTGGTGAGTGGGGAAGGAGGTTGCTCTGGGTACACATTTGCTGGACCATCGTAAGCAAGCATACAACGCCTTCTCAGAAATACACATTCTAGTGACTCACCCCTTTCTTTGCAACTATAAAGAGAATGTGTATTAAAAGCCATCAGATTGGCCATTCCAGCCACCTACAAAATGTGTGCCAGGCCCACTCTCCTGTGCCACATGACGAGAGCGTATCTGGTGGCTACCTTGGCTCAGCTTGTTTCTTATTATCTTAGAGACCAGTCTGGGTCTAGTTTGTGCTGTGCCTTCTTGACACAGACAGTTAACCACTGATGAGACTGAACCTAGATAGAGCTGATTCTAGATCGTGTTGACAAGTCTGCAGAGTAGATCTCTAATAACAAGGTGTATATGGCTCCGAGTATAGAAACGTGGGCTCATTTGTGCATTAGCTCAAACTGCCTCCGTTTAAACACTTGGGCAGATTCAGTGATTATATTTAATATTTCTGCAATTTAGCCTTACAGAATTAAATTTTCACAGGTTTGAGGTAATAGTCCTAGACTCCCAGCAATGCAGCCTGGAGCCTCTGAGTATTGAAACCGTGTCTTCAACTTGCACCTGTAGCTCTACAACGTAATATGCACTCGAGCTGAATTAAACTCAGCGTTTACCCGAGTAGCACCTATTCTTGTTTATTAGGAGAGTAGTCCTTGTGGCCTGAAAAAGCTGTACCTGAAAGTCGATCCTTGTGTCTTCCTATAGAGTATACCAAGATGTCTGATAATCTGGAGAGGTGTTTCCATCGGGCTATGATGAAGCATTTTCCCGGTGAAGATGGAGACACAGATGAAGAGTTTTGGATCAGAGAGGATGAAAAGCGGGAGAAGAGACGGAATCGGGCGGGGCGAAGTGGCGGAAGCCATGTTTGGACCCGCTCCAGGGACTCCGAGGGGCCCAGCCGGAAACAGCAGCCCATTGAGAACGGAGGGCAGCCGTTGCCGCCCGCGCGCCGAGCCTCCCCTTCTGCGGGCGATCCGAACAGCAGTTCCTCCCAGCTCCCTCGGGGCGGGGGCGCCTCGCATGGCCGGGGCTTTTCTCGTCCCCTCTGTTACAGTGGGGTGCCCAGCCAGACACCCCTTTTAAACCAGATGGTAAGGAACAGCTAAGCTGTTGGGGTTTCTCCTAGTTGGTGAATTCAAAGGGGAAGTAAAGCCTTTCTGATTGGCTCCTCTTCCAAAACAATTTTTCTTTGTAGAGATGATTTCTTCTCCCTTCATCTGTCCTTCCTTTTTTCTTCCTTTATTTTAAATCCCCCTTTCTCTTGATCATTTGAACCACACGTTCTCAACATGGGCGGAAATTGGGATTAGAAAAACTTGCCTTTTTTCATGTGTATAAAACACAGAGCACATACAGTATGTAAAATATACAGCGTATCTGTGGTATGAAATTTCATTGGGGCTGGCCCCGTTGTGTAGTGGTTAAGTTTACGTGCTCCAGTTCAGCAACCCCGGGGATTTACAGGTTCAGATCCTGGACACACACCTAATACCGCTTGTCAAGCCATGCTGTGATGGCACCTCACATAAAGCAGAGGAAGAATAGCGGAGGTGTTAGCTCAGGGTCAATCTTCCTCTCCAAAAAAAAGAAAGAAAGAAAAATTTCATGGTGGGGGGCAATTAGGGGAAAAGTTGGCTAAAAAGTCTCCTGCAGGGAGGAGGCAATAATGAAAGAGATTAAGAAACACCAGTTTGTCTCTCCTGGAGAGGGAAATTGCTTTGGGCTCAGGAGCTGGTCCTGAGCTAGGTGAGCCGTGTGCTGGGCCATCTTCCTCTCCTGGCCCTCTCTCCTGCGTTGTTAGTGGTCTGTGTTATTTTAGCAGGACATTCATCTTCACGAAAGTCCTTATTTTCTACTGAATGTCTGTGCTTTCTCTTTTTTTTCTCCTCTTGCCTTTGCTCATTGCCCTCCAGAGGCCAGCAGTACCAGGAGCATTTGGCCCTCTTCGAGGATCAGACCCTGCTGCCTTATATGTCTCCCCTAGAGTCCCGGAGCCGCACCCTCGAGAGCCTGGACAGCAGCAGCCAGCTTTTGCCATGCAGGTAAGCAGCCTCCTCAGAAGGTGCAGGTGCAAAATGTCAGACATGCAGTCTCTTCCCAGGTTAAATTCAATTTATTATCTCTTCTTCTGTAGCATCTGTTTCTCTAGATTAAGCACGTTACAAAGTATGCCTTATTCTGTCAGTCTGGTGAACTCTGCTGTCTTCTCTTGTTGCCAGCCTCCTGTTGGAATTAACAACCATAGAGGACCCAGGCTAGGCACAGCCGAAGAGAATCAGGTGTGTGGAGGACTGACGCAGTTTGCTAACATGGGATCACACCCTGGATCCTTGCAGCTTGGGCAGATGAGTGGCCCCAGTCAGGATGGAAATATGTATCCCCCAACTCAATTCCAGCCAGGATTTATTACTCCCAGGCACGGTGGGGCTCCAGCCCGACCCCTAGACTTTCCTGAAAGCTCAGAAATTCCTCCTGGCCACATGTACCGATCATACAAGTACCTGAATCGAGTGCAGTCTGCTGTCTGGAATGGGAACCACGGTGCTACAAACCCAGGACCCTTGGGGCCAGATGAGAAGCCCCCCATGGGGCCGGGACCCTCTCACCAGCCTCGTACTCTTGGTCAGATGATGGATTCCCCAGTGATGAGACCACCTCTCCCTCCAAACCAGTGGACTGAACAGTCAAACTTTCTACCTCATGGAGTCCCTTCTTCAGGGTATATGCGACCACCCTGTAAATCTGGTGGACATCGGTTACAGCCACCTCCAGCCCTAGCGCCCAGTCCTCTCTTTGGAGCTCCCTCCCAGGCACTGCGGGGTGTGCAGCGAGGGGCCTCCATGATGGATAGCCCGGAGATGATCGCCATGCAGCAGCTGTCTTCCCGTGTCTGCCCACCAGGTGTGCCTTACCACCCCCGACAGCCCGCTCCCCAACACGCGCCTAGCCCCTTCCCACCAGCTGCTCACTCAGCATCAGTAAGTGTGTCTGCCCCCAAGCCTGCCTTGGGGAACCCTGGGAGGATGCCGGATGACAGTGAGACACAAGAGCCTGAGAATGACCGAGGTAATTTATGCTGTCACTTTTGTCTGACTTCATGCTGTGTAAGCTGTTGAAGTCATGAGTAATCTCTTTACACAGAATATCAAACCAATTGTAAACTGGTTTCCAGCTTCTCTTTCTTGAATTACTGAAGGTCAGGCCAATCATAGTATTGTTTTTGGTCCAAAGATCCAGAAGGATTTCTGGTGATGGTGATCACTACACAGGTGTGGTACTCACTGTGCCAGGCACTCTTTTTGAGACTTGTGTGTGTAGTAACTCAATAATTCTCAGAACAAACCTTTGAGATAGCTACTGTTATCATCCTTGTTTTTACATGGAAAATCCAAGGCACAAAGACACTAGATTATCTGCCCTTACCTCACTAGTAAGTGGTGGACCTGAGATTTGAACCCACAGACTCGGTCAGCATCCATGCTCTTACCCCCTGCATCATCAAACTGCCTTTCAGAATCCCTGTCTTGAAAGTTTCATTATGAAATAAGTTTTCAGTATTTTACTTAAAGTCTACTCTCATCCTTCTGTTCATTTTGAGTACATGTCTGTATCTACTAAGAGTGAAGAACAGTGAGATCTAGCAAATCTTGAAAGAATTTCTTAGAAGTGCCATTTAAGAGAGTAAACCTGAAACTGGAGGAGAAAGATGAACACTTTGTGTGATTGATGTTTATTTCTAGGATAGATGTCTAGCATGTATTGCATGTAATTTTCTTCAGTTCGTGACTGGTAAGGAAGGCACCTAGACTTTTATAAAATATGAAGATTCCACATAAAATTGATAATAGGCCTAAACTCAAACTTAACTTCTTAGTGTTTCTTTCAAGGAAAGGCCTACTTTCTGAACACCAGCTCTAGCAGGATTTTTTAATACTGATTTCAGATGATGTCTGGAATTCAAAGCTTTAAAACAAGAGTCCCTCTGGTGAGACCTTGGAGAAGTCTGTTTGTTAGCCACCATGTTTTGTGCTGACTGAATAATGAAAAGTGCAGATTTTAATTTTCATTGTATACTTGTACCTTTGATCTTTAAAGCAGCGTTAGTTCATCAGTAGCCTGAGATCCTAGTAGATCTTTAAAAGTTGCTGTTAATCCTTAATCTTGTCCTTAAGATCTGTTACCAGAATTGTATTTGGACCACACCTGGGCAACAATTCTGTCCTACTTGAAAGATTATAATAATAAGACCATATTTATGGGTGGTACATTAGCAAGACAATTCTGAGTTTGTAATTAAGCATCTGAGTCTAGTATATTAATTTGTTTGGGTTTATTAAATTTCTGTAACATGTTAAAGATGCCTTTTGAGTTTTATGCTGTAGGCATCTTGTTTTCAAAACATCCAGACAAGATGAATATTTTCATTCATTCAGTAAATATTGACTGAGTCCCCGTTTTGTGCAAGTACTCAGAATATGGTGGGGAACACAACAGAGCCCCTACTCCTGTGGAGCTTATGTTCTGATGGAGCAGAAGTCGGGGATCCAGCCTTCCTGATACCCAGCACGTCCTGGTCCTTTTCATCGTGTGAGTTTTAGAGCTTCCCAGCCTGGCCTGCAATTCTAGTGACACCTGTGCCGTCCTGCTCTACTTACATGCATCTGCTGGAAGTCCATGGAGTCATCTCACACCCTCTTACTAATCTGGCTGTGACAGCACAGGAAGAGGGAGGCCAGGACATCTCCATTCTTTGGCAGACCCTCCAAGTAGCCGTAGAGGTGCTGGGTCTTACCTCCTGGTCTGTGAAAGGAAGTGTGCAAGGGCCTCAACATTAGGACCCTTTCAGGGACTCTCAAAAGAAGCTTGAATGGCCACACATCCACCTCAACTCTGAGTCCCCTTATCTGACTGCTTATGTTCTTTTCATTAACATGTCCCTCAGTAGTGTCATTTCAGCTACTGAATTAGTATTTTTTCTCCATTTTTCTTGCAGCAGATCCCTTGCCTGGGCTTGAGGAGAAACCACCAAGTGTCGGTGCATCAGAGGGGGTGTACCTCAAACAACTACCTCACCCCACGCCTCCTCTGCAGACCGACTGTGCCAGGCAGAGCTCTCCACAAGAAAGGGAAACAGAAGGCCCGGGGCTCAAAAGCGACTCCTTGGAATCTGGAGACAACTGTAAAGCAACAAAGGGCAAGAGTCCCTGGACCACAGAGAGCAGCTATGCCAGCACAGCAGCCCAAGGGTGTATGAGAGACCTCGCCGGGCTGGCGGAGAGAGGGGCTCTACCCGAAAACGGAGTGATCGTTGAAGCGTCCCCGTGTGGGTCAGAGGGGAAGGGCTTCAGTGGTAGTGGTTCAGAAAAGCCACTGTGCCCCAGAGGCAAAACACTGCAGGACACCATGCCATGTACAGGACAGACGCCAGCTACGCTTCCTAACACAGACCCTAATTTGATGGGAGGCACCATAAGCCAGTTTTCTCCCTTGTACATGCCTGGCCTGGAATACCCAAGTTCAGCTACACATTACCACATCACTCCAGGCCTGCAGGCTTTGGGCCCTGTGATGGGAGGTAAACCCTCAGTCTCACACCCTCAGCAGTTTCCCCCTAGGGGCTTTCAGTCTAACAACCCGCATTCGGGGATCTTTCCCCGGTATCGCCCCCACCAAGGGATGAGGTATTCCTACCAGCCACCACCTCAGGCTTCCTACCATCACTATCAGCGAACTCCTTATTATACATGTCCACAGGGTTTTTCTGACTGGCAGAGACATCTCCATCCCCCGGGAAGCCCAAGTGGGCCCCTACCTAGTCATCCTCTGCCACCAAGACCCCTCTTCTCAGATAAGAGCGCCATGGCTGATCTCCAAGGCTGTGAGACACTGAGTGCTGCCTTAACCTCCCCACCCCGAATGGAGGCGGTGGCTGCCACGGTGGTCACCACTGAGGGGCAGAATCCTGGTCCAGAGGGAGAGAAGCTGGATGAGTCTATGGAGAGGCCAGAAAGTCCCAAAGAATTTTTAGACCTGGACAACCATAATGCAGCTACCAAGCGACAGAGTTCATTGTCAGCCAACGAATATCTTTATGGAAGTCCTCCTCCCCCTCTGAGTTCGGGGATGGGGTTTGGCTCATCTGCTTTCCCACCCCACGGCGTGATGCTACCGTCGGGGCCTCCTTACACCCCTCAGCGGCCGGCCAGCCACTTCCAGCCCAGGGCTTACTCTTCCCCTGTGGCTGCTCACCCTCCTCGCCACCCAGCGGCCGCCCAGCCCAATGGCCTCTCTCAGGAGGGCCCCATCTATCGCTGCCACGAGGAGGGCCTGGGCCACTTTCAAGCAGTAATGATGGAACACGTTGCCGCTGGAAGTGGAATGAGGGGACCTTTCCAGGACATGTACAGACCGTCAGGGTAAGATTGCATTAGATTGAGTTTTTTTGAAAAAAGAATAGGTGTTGGTTTTAAAAAGAAAAATAGTCTTAGGAATAAAGATAAACTTTAGTGGTCTAGGTCTGGGATCACGCATGTGAATCATTGATGACTTACTGGAAATGTGTTAGCGTTCAGAGTCCAATTTTATCTTTGGCGTTTTCTTTCCCTCTTGAAAGTGAATTGACTTTTAAATGACTGTTTTGTTAGATTTTGATATTAGAAACTTGGCAGCTGGGTTGAGAGCTGTAGGCAGAGGGTTTAACATTGCTGCTGAGTTCAGACGTACTGACCAAGAGGTCTCTCTCAAACCCTGGGAGTATGGGAGGTCATGTGTGGTGTTCAGGGTTTACTCCTTACCCTCATTTCTTACCCTAATGTTGAATGAAAGAACTAGGTTTATCTAGAATTGGAACAAGTCATATAATATCCTCATAAGAATTCTCGGAAATGGTGATGTTTTTAAAGACCCACTGAGGTGATCTGTGATCCAGGAGGTTTCCAAATTAATAATATATAAGAGATGTGTAGATAAAATTGTTCATATTAAAGTTATGAAGCCTAATCATAAAACCAATACCATCCAACTTAAAAACCAGTGTGTCCACCGAAGCAGCCCTTGCCTCCAAACCCTCTCCCCAAGTTAACGTTTTGCCATGTTTGTTTGGTACCTCCATAAATATCTATTGTCATTTCATTTCTTTTCTTTGCCCCTTTTCTAAACCATTGGGAGGTAAGTTGCAGACACCATGACCCTTTATCCCTCAGTGCTTCAGCATGCATCTCCTAAGAATAAGGACTTTCTCCTGGAGCACAGTCTCAGACTGTCCTCACACCCAAGGAAGATAACCTTATGTAATGTAGAGTCCTTACTTAATTTCTTCACTTGTCGCCACAATGTCTGTTATAGCTGTGTTTCTTTGTTTTGATTTTTTTCCCATCCAGGATCCATTCAGGGTTCATGTATTTACATTTGGTTGCTATGTGTGTTTAGTCTCTTAATTTACAACATTCATCCTATTACCGTTTTTGTTTTTCAAAGACTCCAGGCCAGTTCTTATGTAGTGTCTCCCAGATTCTGGATTCTTCTCATTGTTTCCTCATGTCAGATTAAACACTTCCTCAAGCACATTACATATGTGGTGTCGTGACTTCTTGTGTCACACCTAGGGGCACATAATGTCACTTTTCCAGTATTGATTGCAAGTTTGATCACTTGGATAATTAAGGCAGTATTTGCCTGAGATAGGATTCAAGTATCTTTTTTTCTTTTCTAATTACTATATCTTCCTTCTTTCTCACTGTTCCTTTCTTATGTCTAGAATACAAATGCATCCGGTCCAGGCACAGGCCTCGTTTCCAAAGACCCCAGCACCGGCAGCATCGCAGGAAGAGCTGCCACCACATAAGCCCCCAACACTTCCCCTTGATCAAGTAAGAATCAGCAAATATCACAACTGTTCTGTCTCTTCCAAGTACGTGAGATCATTGCTGTTCTGAAAAAGTCTTCCGAGCTGTCCTGTTGATACAGGGGCTTTCCCTGGAAAGTGCTTCTGTCCTGCAGGCACCAGGTAGAAAGGGCCACTCAGCCGTGTGCTCCCTCTGAGCCGGCTGTGGAAAGGGCAGGAGAAGAAGGGCTGACAGAGGGCTGCTCCGCTCTTCCCTTGTGGTCCTTCTTCTTCTCATGGGATCAGCTGTTTAGGGGTTATTTAAACCTTATTTCTCCAGACTGGCTACTAGCATTCCTTTCGATAGGATACCTTGTCTCTTTTATCCTTACCACCTGTTTCTTGTGAGAGGGACAAGTCAGTGTGCCAGGCACGGTGCTGAGAGCTCCTACGTGCTGCATCCCACTCAGCCTCTTCATCGACCCTGAGAAGCAGTCATCATCCGCACCTCAGCAGTCTCGTCATTCCCCGATGTGCAGGGAGTCCTGCAGCCTCTGAGCTGGGGGCTGCAGTTGGAAGTGGGAGGCCCAGAACTTAGAGCTCACCCTCCGGTAGGTTGCAGTAAACTGTGGCAGGTGAAGCAAAATCAAGCCATTTTCCTAGATGTAGAGGAACATGAACAGCTCTTTGGCTTATTTGTTTTTAACGGTTAACACAAATGTTAATTTTAAGTTGTCTTTATTTTGCTTTTCTCAGAGCTAGTCCAAGGAGGAAATGACCCCCAAGGAAATGGAAAGCTGCACATGAAGACTGGAACAAGGAGAATCTGGGGGAACCATCTCCCCCATCACTGTTCCTCTCACCCCGCTGCGCCCTTCACCATGCATCACTTCATGCCATCTCATCGCTGGACCATTCCTGAGCCCTGGAAGCACATCCTTCGATAACCGACACACCGCTGCTGAGGTCCTGGGTTGGGGATCTCTCAGATGGCTGATAGTCAAGAACAAATGAACTGGAACCAGTGATGGCTTTTCTGAGTCCCGAGACTCTTGTTCAGGGAAAATCATCTTAAACTTGGCAGGGGGGCATACTTAATGGAGTGGTGCTTGTAAACCTTCATGAGCAGCTAAACTCAGGTATATGTTTGGGGAAGGGACTACTTGTAGTATTAATGTGTTTGGAGCTGGGTCCAGTTTACAGAATTTTCATGTTGCCTTTTAAAATAATTTTTGTTGTTGGTGGTGAATGTATTGTACATAGAGTGGGAAGGGTGGGTGGGGATGTGGAAGAAATGGAAATCCTCACTGGTGGGCACACCGCACTGGAGTGATCCTTATCTGTTTACAATCATGTCACGCTGAATACTTTGGGGAGCTGGAGACGAGGGTAGGAAAGGTTTGCTCGTGTGACATGGCACTGGGTTTCCTCAGTGGCCAGCCATCCTTTTAGTGCTCAAGGCCTTCTTTCTAGTCAGCCCAAGAGAGTACTGTTACACTGCCCCCAACAGCTCAGCTGCTCAGTTTGGAGGCAGAGAGCTCTCACGGCCTTCCAGAAGCTTCAGCCCAGAAGACAGGCTGCCCTCTCCTCTGGTGGCCCAAATCCTGGATAAGAGAGCAGTGCCCTTCCTGAATGCCACCAGCCCTACCAGATAGTAGTAAACAGTATCAGGAATTGGGATCACTAGAGTGTTTTGCTTATTAGAGGATAAAAGGAATCGCCCTCTTCACAGGCCTCCAGACTGTGGTCTGGAAGGCGCCAGGCAAAGCTTCTGGCACAAGCCACGTTGTGCGTGAGTGACTACTCAGGTCTGTGTATGTTAGTATCAACAAAGAAATTGCACAGTTTTGAATAGGAAAAATGTATTTTATAGATTTACAGTTTGGATTTAGGAATATTTCAATATATATAGTTTTTATTCAGTTTAAGTGAATCATAGTAAAATAAGTCATGGTGATTTAAAATAGCTATCAGGAGCAAGTTCTTGGAAATCATTTGTCGTATCTGTGATAGCAAACAATTTTACAGTATTAAATTACTTTATTACAGTTTTAGAAGTGAATTACACTGGATTCTCCCTGTTTAGCATTCTGTATTTGATTTTAGCTGAGATGCCACCAAAGTTAGGACTCATGTTTTAAACTTTTGAATATCCCACAAAGAAAAAAAGAAAAACTAAGGAAAATGCCCTGAAATTACAGGTTTTGTAAAGAATAGCATATTTTTAAGCATGCCTTTGGGATAGTAGAAAACCTTCCGTATAATATTAATCTGTCCTAGTTTCTTATAAATTCACCTGTGTGAGGGTCAGTAGAACCCCTCCCTCCAATTCCAGCATCCTTGATGAAACATGGAGCTGGCATGTTTAAAGTTTGCTAAACATAGGCTATCAGTAGGAAAAGAAACAAATGGGAGACGTCTGTGTGATACAGCTGGAACCCAAGTCACCAACTCCAGTATAATGGAAGTTAGTACAAAGAAGCGAGTGCTTACTGACCTGGCTGACGGCTCAGGCAGGATGGAGAGTTGGATCGGGAACACAGATGCCTTTAAGATCACAATGCACAAAAATACCACTGTTTCTCTAATCGACTTTAATTTTAAATTTGGTGTGCTTTTTTTAAGTGGAATGAGTTTTGAGACTGTGTTCTCATTTGATCCTGATTCTTGTTAGAAACTATCACATCGTCATCTGGTGTTTGCAGGAAGAATAGATGAGGAGGTTCGTGGACAGGCTCAGTCAGCCCTTGAACTAGGGAAAGGTGGCGTGGAGGAAGCGTTCCTACTTCCATGTCCGTGTGTGCAAAAGCAGGGAGGAGGAAAGACCAGCTGGTCTTTACAGCTAGTTTGGGCGTGGTTAGACCTGGTCTAGGCCTAGAGCATTCTGCCACCGACGGCCTTTCTCTTTTCACAGTAAAGCTGCTTTGAGAGGCCTCTGGCTCCTCCCTGACTGGGAGCACAGGAACCATGGGGCCTTTTCCCTTGGTGCTGGAACTACAGGGGATTGCTTTGTGCCGAATCACCCTGGGGCACAGGTAGGATGGGCTGAAAGCAGTAGGTGAGCTGATTTGTACCTGTCCTTCCGCCCTGGTGGTGTTGGAGCAGCTGTGTCCACACTGTTCTAGGTAACCCTTTCTCCTCTCTCCCAGCCCATTCCCCCAATTACCTGTTGCTAGAGAGAAGCTGTGAACAATATAGAACAAAAACAGTAAATTCTTTTATTGTTAATCTCCCTTCTTGGTATGTAGGGAGGTGAGAAGAATACTGAGGGAGAACAGTAGGAGATTGAACTGCTGTGAACACAACACTGTGAACAAGGGCAGCAGCAGACCCGCAGTCCTGCTGACCCCACGTGGGACGGGTGTGCACACAGGTGCCAGTGCTTTGTCCTTTGTCTGCTGTGTCTTGAACCTTGAGTGGTCTTCAAAGTGCCGATCTGCTGAGAGCAGGCGGGAGCTGCAGGGTCACAGGAGCACTGGATGGAGAGCTGCCTGGACCAGTGTCCTGCTCTTCTGCCAGGCGGGCCTGTCTTTTCACCTCTTCTTTCTCCTCCAGCACTTCTTCCCAAGTGTCTTCAGCAGGCGCAAGCGCATTTGCCACCTTCTGCACTCGGGATTCATGGATAAGTGACATGCTGTAACTGGACAGGAGTGCGTAAGGGCATCCTGAAAAGCCTCCGGCCTCAGTCGAGAAGGCCTTTGACACTGCGGCTCCCTGCCACCTGTTGATGTGCCGGCTCTCGGTGGTCCCCACAAGGGACAGCTGAGCTCCATGGGTCATGAGAAATGCTCTCACACCTGTTTGATTGAACATCTAGGGCTGACCTTGATTTAGAGTTGCTAATAAGTTCGAAACTCTTTCCCCAAGACCCAAGAGAAATAAAAGACCCACAAAGAAAAGTAGAGCCTTTGGGAAGGTTTCCACTTTGGGTTTTTTTTTTTTTCCCATCAGAGTCTATTCATTTAGTTTTTGGCTAAAATATATTATAGTAAATGTATATGGAGAATAAATAAGGACAAAATACGCAGATTCTTACTCATAACTTTTTCCATCTCACTTTTTAAAAGTAAAATTAAACCTGTTCCATCTCACCTTAGTCGGATTTGCTTAGTTCTTCTGGTGCACACAAGCACACAGCTTATTATTAACAGTTCTTTGTTATTTTATTATTGAGTGAGCCCAAGTGGGCGAACTGTATAATGCTCATCTTCCTTTTTATGTTTATTGAAAACCTTAAGACCAGTAGTTTGTGCCCCTTGAAGTTCAGTCAAACCTCAGCAATAAGTGTCCGTTCCTCCTGGCCTCAGGCCGAGACCTTGAAAGTGCTTCTTGTGACTAGCCCTTTGGCGTCCTTATCCCATGGCCTTTATCTGCTGTATTATTATTACTGTTTATGTTAATTCCTGCTGGAGTGAAAGAGTACACTAAATGCTGTCCAAAACACAAATCTTCGTGTGGCCCTCATCACAGATGTTGGAAAAAACTTCTAATCTGTACTACTTTGTTGAACTTTCTTCTTCTTTTTTTTTAATGGAAGTTCAAATCTATAAATAATATACTGCTGTTAAGACCTAATTTGAAGTTTACAGGAAGTCTTAACCCAGCAGTCCCAAGGCAAGGACAATTAACATAGTGTCTGGACCCTAACCGGCTTTCAGAGAAACTGTCTTCAAGGAAATGAAGGGCTTAGAGTTTTCTAGCATCATTGCCTGCTTTGTGCCTGTCTGTCAGTTCACCGCCTGCCAGATACTGCATGGCCCCATCCTGGGAGTCAGCTCCGTGTGAGAGTGTGTATGTGTGTGTGTGCGTGTGTGTATGAGAGAGAGTCGAGGACTGCTCAGCCCTGGGGGTCTCTGGGATGCAGCATGCCTACAGCTAGCTCTCTGTTCAGCACTTCAGTGCGGACGTTGGGATTTGGGTTGAGCGTACAGAGGCTTTTATTCCTGGGTTCCCATCCCTGTCCAGGAGCTGAGAATGTGACTGAGATGTGCTGTGTGAAAAGGAACCAGGCCCTCTTTGGCTCTTTGGGTGGTTGAACTCTGTACCATGTCACCTTAGGACACTGAGCCTTGCCCTGCTTTCCTTTTGGGGAAGCAACTTGGGTGAACACTTCTGCATCCTTTCTCTCATATGGAGTCGTGACACAAAGCTTTGTCTCCAGGCTGGCTGTGTATTCCTCTCTGTGCTTTGTAGGGCTTTGCTGAATAGACATTTCGGGGGACTGTCTCCCTGGCTGTTCTCTCTCTCTGCACAGGGGACTCACTGAACTTCGATGTCGAAATGCCCGATAACCAACTGGTTGTCTTGCATGTGTTTGAAAAGGGTGGGGTGGGGTTGGGAACAGGGGTGTGGGTATTGAGTAAGTTACTGAAATGCTGAACCTGTTCGATATCCTCTATGACCCCTTCTTTTCCCTTGCCGGGCTCGGGTACCTCACTCTCCTGCCTTGCACACAGCTTCTGGAGCCCAGGCCAGTCTCCCCAGCCTGCCATGCACAGTGTCAGGGATTCTTTGCTCCTGCTGCAAAAGCCGTGTGAACTTTCCTGGCCAGTAATGGAAAGGGGAATGCTATTTATTTTTATATTGTGTATATTTTGTCGTGGTCTGCTGATTCCCTGTTTCACTGAGAGCGACACTTACCTCAATAGTTAGTTCAATATTGTGTGTTGGATAATTTTTTAAGAGAACTTTTTAAAAAGCTTTTGATCTTCAGAGGTCTGTAGATTTATTTCCATATGAACTGGTTATTTTGTATAAAGTACATTCTTAAAATAGCAAGGCTCTGATATGTGTGAGTTGTGTGTGTCTGTGTGTCACTTTTATGAGGACAACAGTTTGAACTGGGCCCCAGTGCCGTGACCTAAAAATGCCTCCCTGTCTCAACCTCGCTCTGTCAGGGGGGGTAATGTGGGGCGGGCGGTGGGGGCAGTGGGCCCTGTGCAGGCGATAGTGCTGTGTGCTCTGTAGAGACCTTCAGAGCAGTGGTCACACTGACTGACAACTGTACACAGAGTCAGGGATAAAGTACTCTTCCCAGCTAGGCCTATCCACACCCATCTCGTGCATCTACTCCCCATACCACCCACACATCCCCAGCCCTTGGTACGCCATCTTAAACATACTGTAATACACTAATTTTGATCTCCTTCCAAAATCTAGGGTGGACTGGGGGCCCAGGAGGCAGAATACAGTTGCTAATGGGGGAACAATGGTCAGCTCTGGTCTGGAGCCATTGGTGAATGAATTACAGGTGGCCCGACATGGGAACTATAAGTCTAATTAAGAAGATACTTTTCTGTAAGCCAATATGACCCCAATAAAATAAATTTTAAAAAAAAAATGGCCAGCCCCTGTGGCCAAGTGGTTGGGTTCGCGCGCTCTGCTTCAGCAGCCCAGGATTTCGCCAGTTTGAATCCTGGGCACAGACATGGCACTGCTCATCAAGCCATGCTGAGGCGGCGTCCCACATGCCACAACTAGAACGACCTACAACTCGGATATACAACTATGTACTAGGGGCTTTGGGGAGAAGGAAAAATAAAATCTTCAAAAAAAAAAAAACAGAGAAGGTACTCTTCTACCTGCCCAATTTATTTATTTTTTATTTGCTGTTCCTGGGAGGGTTTTTTTTATTGGGGGAGGGGGAGAACAGATAAAAAGTCCACCTTATCAGTTAGCTATAGTCTTAAGGTACCAAAACTGGCCTGTTTTATCCTGAAATAATTGGCCTTGTAAGTAATCTCATTCAGTAAAAATTGTACCACAAATAGTACCAACTTCCAAATCTGTTGTCCTGTCAAGTTTGTCACTTTCCATGGCAATGAGAGAGCTTTCCGTCTTGACCTCCAGTTGTTTGGTGTCACTTATCCCCGTTGATGATGTATTGTTGGCTAACACATTTTTGTGACTTCCGTCCTGTTTTTTAACATCATGTTCAAAATTAAGTCATACTCCCATAAAAAGCATTTTTCCTATAAAATATCATGTCAGTCCCATATTCTAGTTTAGTAGTTACATTTCCATATGGTTTTTGAAACACAAAAAAGTCACCTATAAAGTGAGAATCCTTAGTAAACCGCAGTTTTACGTGATGCTGGTCAGATCGTTTCTCTCACTTGGTTCTCTCAGTATCTCTTGCCCTGGTGGGGCAGGGGCGGGGCACCACTCTGGCCTGGCTTCCTTTGCTGTCGTGACAACGGTGACACTGGAGCATCAGCTCCACTCCCTGTGCATATTGGTATCACACCCTTAAGAAACATGTAAAATTGGATTTCTAACTTTTGGATCCCCAACTGGAACCTCTCCTCCTGTGACATGAATTCCTCACCAAACAAACACCAAATGTTTTGACAGTTTTAACTAATGATAAGGTTTAACTTTATTCTTTAGCAGGAACTTAGCTCTCAGCTGAGTGCCCTTTAGCTTGGGACCAAAACAAAGTATCTTCCCCTGGTCAGCTGTCTCAAACTCAGCACAGCAGGCAGTGTAACCCAGCTCTGTTTGGGGATGATTATTTGGCAAGCCCCGTGCCCACCAGACCTTACACAAAGATTATCCTACTCAGTGAACGTGTTGCTTCAGATTGGGGCAGAGAGGAACGCTGAGAGGGTAAGATTTAGGGGAAAGGAAGGGAAGCCATAACCCAGCAATGAGGATTAGTCTCAGAATTCTGATGAGCTCCATTTTGACATGGGGAAACATCCAAAGGTGCTTGTTAAAACATTAACGTCTTTTGTCTCTAAACCAGTTCCTGTCATTGGGAGAAGAGGCGTCTGAATTTTATAAACAAGGACCCCCCTAGGGGCTCAGTTTTGCCATAATCCCCACAGTCTCCGAGAGTGCTATGAACAGAATTGAGAAAACACAGGTTGGGCTTTTTTGGAGGCTGACATTCATCCTGAAATCTTCCTGGAGAGGTAGATGGGCTATGTCTTTACATTGTGGCAAGAGTGGCCTTGGGAAGAGATTCCGTTGGACCTTTCCTTCCCGGTGGCTGGATTCTAGGCCAACGGGGAATGGCAGAGCCCTGAGTTCCCAGGCTGCCCCAGCCTTCACTGTCCCTCCCCCACTGGAGTCTCTGTAGGTGGGCCCTGTCAATCTATTTCTCTGGCCTCCTGGTTGCCTGTGGGTTTTTAAAAGAAGAACATCTATTTTAGTCCCCTTTCTGCTGCCAGGGCTCACTCCTCTAGTTTCCTTAGGCAATTTTAGCAAAAACCTTCAGTGCAAGATGGACTGTGAAGTCCTAGCCAAGAAGACAGCTGGAAGAGCCCCAGATCTGGTGGTTATGTGCTGAAATCCCACCTCCTGCACCGTGCTGTGCATGCAGATGCAGTGCTCCTGAGAAGAATTCAGGTTTGGGAAGTACTACCTGCTCCCAGAATCTTGCATTGGAACCTCATACCAGACAGCAAATGAGGAGGACACAGGGGCCCTACTCTAGCCGCTTAGAGCTGAACAGAACTTTTAAAAGTACTAGAGTCAGTTCCTGGATTGTAGCAAAGCTTATTGCTTTGGGAAGGAATTGAGTCCTCAGAGGGCAAAGACGCACCCAAGCAAAGCCTGGCCCGTGCGCGCCCCGAGAACTGAGATGAAGACAGCCGGACTCGCAGGCCAGTTCTCGTAGGTATTTAGCAGATACCCAGTGTGCGCCTTAGTGCTTTGCCTAGTTCCTAACAGTACAAGAGGGAAAAAAATTGCTTCCTCTGCTCAGACTTCATAATAAGCGAGACAGACAGAACACAGAAAAAGTGGGCCACAGTCAAGTGTCAGAAAAGACCCTGCTTGGCAGAAGTAGGAAGTTCGGGACAGGTGTGTGTGCCCTCCAGTTTGATCGTCCAGGGGGAGGGGTGCTCAGCTTGGATAGACCTCTGCGTGCAGGCTGCGTGTGGAGGGCTGGCATCTCCTCCCTGGGGCCTGCAGTTTCATAGCTTGTTCCCTATAGCAGTCTCTCCGCCCGCTTTCCTCTGAGTCCTTGTTCCAGCTTGAATCCCTCTCTCTTCACTCGTTCTACCCTCACTAGGCTAAACAGAGAGGATGACATATGCAGAGCCCAGGCACCAGCACCTCTCCCAGTGCAGTCCTGAGAGCGCACTTCCTAGAGATGGCTAGATCTGCAGGAACCGGCGCTGGTTTGGGGAGAAGCATGGCATGGCCCCACTCCGTCAGCCTTACGCAGTCTCAGTTCTCTTCTTGCGGTCACATCCTCTGCTCTGGTGGCTCACAGGGTGGTCTCTGGACCAGCAGCTTCAGCTTTGCCATCACCTGGGAATTTGTTAGAAATGCAAATTATGGGTCGCCATCCCAGACCTACAGGATCAAACAGGGTGGGCCTCAGCGGTTGTTGTAAGTGAGGCTTCCTGGTGCTGAGGCAAACTAAAATCTGAACGCTGACCTGTAGGAAAGGCCAGTAGTAACATGTTAGTCCTCAGGTGCACCTCATCCCGACTGACCGGTTCGTTCAAACTCAGTGCATGTCAGAGCATTCTGCTGATAAGCCGCTGGAAATTGATGCCCTCCTGCCGGTTCACGTGGGGACAGATGCTCCTCTGTTGCAAACCTGGGGGGCGATTGCAGAACAAGAAGGGCTGCAAAGACGAGGCCTTCGCTCATTGCCCACCCTGCCCCCTTGACTCCCTGCTTCTGGCCTCCCACTCCCTCCATCAAATCTCACGGCCAGTCTCTGCTTTCTCTGCCCCGTCTTCTGGGCTATTGGGTGTCTTTTTGGGATCTAAACCCAACAGACCACTGCCGTTCCAGCGTCTTGCTCTCCGTCACGTCAAGGCCCTCCCTGCTGTGTTACGGCCTCCTGCAGCTGCTGCTGGCATTTATTCAGCAAATTTCAGTGAGTTTTTATTTGGCTTTGCAATGCCCTAAACCAATTGTTGCCAATCTAGGCTGCCATTAGGGGGTTAACAACCTGGGCTTTAAAAAAAGTAGATACAAGCCAGCCCTGACGGCCTAGCCGTTAAAGTTCAGCCTCTGCGTTGGCGGCCCAAGTTCAGTTCCCGGGCTTGGAGCCACGCCGCTTGTCTGTCAGTAGCCACGCCGTGGCAGTGACTCACATGGAAGAACTAGGAGGACAACTAGAATCTACAACTATGTACTGGGGCTTTGGGGAGGAGGGAAGAAAGAAGATTGGCAACAGATGTGAGCTCAGGGTGAATCCCTGTGACGACAACAAGAGTCAGATACCTGGGCCCTCCCCCCAGAGAGTTTTCCACTGGGCTGGTTGCAGCCTGGGCAGAGGGAGTTTTCAAAGCTTTCCCATCAATTCTGTGGTGCAGCCAACATTTGACAATGTTTGCAGTTTACAAAACTCCAAAACCAGTGGCTTGCAAACTTGCATTCTGCCCATGAATCACCTGGGGAACCTTGACAGGGTCAGATTCTGGTTCACCAGGTCTGGGGTGGGTCCCGAGATGCTGCATTTTTAACAAGCTCATCACAGGATAACGCAGAGCACTAAGGCCTCAAGTGCATCCTTGCTTTCCCGCACCAATGACCTCACCTTGTTATTTAAAGAGGAGGCCTGGCCGCCCGTGGCCCAATGGTTATAGTTCTGTGCTCTGCTTCAGCAGCCTAGTTCCCGAGTTCAGATCCTGGGTGCAGACCTACTCTACTCATCAGCCATGCATACAAAAAAATAGACGAGGATTGACACAGATGTTAGCTCTGGGCCAATCTTCCTTAAGCAAAAAAAAAAAAAAAAAAGGAAGATTGGCAAAGGAATGGATGTAAGCTTAGGGCAAATCTTCCTCACCAGAAAAAAAAAGAGGGAGGCCACCTCACACAGTGCTCTCACTTGCCATGCTTTTCCAAATCTTTACCTTTCTTCTTTTCTGCCAGTGATGTCCCTTCATCAAAGCTGGCTTCCCCTTGTGCTTGTGTTCCAGCCTCTCCTGTCTGTGCCCTGACCAAATCCAGTCAACTAGCCTCTCCTCCTCCTCTCTGCCGTCCCTACACAAGTGGCTCCAGTTTCCTCTACTTAAGTATGACATATTGATCTCTTTGCCTTCATTCACACTCTTCGCTATAGGAGCTGGCATTTCTTTCTCTACTACCATCCTCCTGCAATTTGGCTATCCCCTCCACCCCCCGCCTTTCTAGAACTACTGACTTACAAACAGCCTCAGCCAGATCACTTCACAGCCCTCCAGCTCCTCAAGTTGGGCCCACACCTGCTGGGACCAGCTGTCGTGCCATGACCACGCTCACCCGGCTCTCCTGCCCCGCCCTCTGCTTCCCTTCCTAAGGTGTGCTCTTCCTAACACTCAGCCCCTCCTTAGCTTTACACACCTTCCTCTAGATGATCTTGTTTTTACCTGCAAGTTCAGTTGTCACGCTGTGCAGTCAACTTGTGCTTGCGAAATCTTCAGTTCAGACTTCTTTACCATCCTCTGGTCACATTTTCCAGATTTCTTCTGGATGTTGACACCGAGGTATCCTGCTGCCATTGTTTTGTGATTTTTTCTTTTTGTTTGCCACTGTTTTAAACTTTTTATCGGTAAAATGACTTGCAATTTTATTACCGACACCTTGCCTCCTTGTTTTTAAAATCCTTTCTAAGCCGTTTTATTACAATTCACCTTAATACTGACACCTCCCGTCTTCCTCTAATGCCATCCATTATGTTTAAATGTAATACACTGGTTTCATTGCTCACTTCTTTTCCTTTTTATTTGTTTATTTATTTTTGAGGAAGAGTAGCCCTGAGCTAACATCCCCTGCCAATCTTCCTTTTTGCTGAGGAAGATTGGCCCTGAGCTAACATCTGTGCCCATCTTCCTCTATTTTATATGTGGGATGCTGCCACAGCATGGCTTGACGAGTGGTATGTAAGTCTGTGCCCAGGATCCAAACTGGTGAACCCCAGGCCACAGAAGCGGACCACAAACTTAACCACTATGCCACTGGGCCGGCCTCTCTTCCTTTTTATTGTCATAAAATACACATAAAATTTCCCATTTTAAGCATTTTTAAGTGCACACTTCAGCTGCAGTATGTACATGCACATCATTGTGCAACCATCACCACCACCCATCCCAGAGGTTGACCCTGCCCAGACGCCAGCACCCATCACAGGCTAACTCCCCCGGGCCCTAGCAGCCCCTGTTCTACCTGCTGTCTCTGAATGTGACTATTCCAGGTGCTTCAGATAAGTAGAATCACAATATTTGACCTTTTGCGACTGACTTATTTCCCTGAGTATAATGTCCTCAAGCTTCCTCCATGTTGCAGCAGGTGTCAGAATTTCCTTCCTATTTGAGGCTGGATCATATTCCATTGTGTGTATAGGCCATATTTCTACCTACTCATCCGTCAGTGGACGTGTGGGTTTTGGCTACCGTGAACGATGTTGCAATGAACATGGGTGTACAAGTACATGTTCGAGACCCTGCTTTCAGTTCTGGGTATATCCGCAGAAGTGGGATTGCCGGGTCCTGTGGTAACTCTGTTTTCAGCCCTTTGCAGACCTGCCGGGTCTCCACAGCCGCCACACCATCTCGCCCTGCCGCAAGCTTGCAGGGCCCGGCCCACGCAGGTGCAGGGCGCTCCACTCGCTCTTTCTCAATTGCCATAGCTGCCACTAACCCCACATCAACAGCCAAATTTTTCTTCCCTCCTCTCTCGCCACCCACTCCTGATGCTCCTGGTTGGAGTGATAATCAGTCTTTCTCCCGCTGATCCGTGTTTGAAACCTGCCACTTGCCCCTGACATGTTTCATCAGCTGCCCAGCCCTGTCGATTCTGCACAGAAATCACTCGCCCCTCTTCCCGCCTGCATGCAGCTTCTCATTTTGTCTCTTGCCTTGATTATTGTAATCCCCTTGGCCTGTCCAAACCACCCGATGCTGCCATGAATTTGAACTGTGCCCTCTAACCCCATTCCACATCCTGCATCACCTTTCCATTGTTCACCAGAAAAAGGGAGGACAAAAGCATTTAGCAAACACCTTTTACGTGCCAGGCACTGTACTCAGTGTTCTGCATCTAAGTATGAGTCTCATTTTGTAGATGAGGAAGCAGGCACCGAGAAGTTAAGTAACCTGTTTAAAGTCACACAGCTAGTAAGTGGTAAACTGGAATTCAAACCAGTTCGAAAGCAGTCTTACTCCAAAGCCCATTCTTAGCCACACTGCTCTCCTGCCTCAGGAGATCCTCATAGCAATCCTAGGAAGTGGCTATCTCAATCCCCTTTTGATGAAGAAAAGCACTAAGTTAAGTAAGTTGCTTCGAGAGAGAGAGTTATTAGCCTGGCAGCTGGGATTGGAGCCTGGGTCTCTGACCCCAAAGTCTGTGCCCTGCAGGCTCCTCATCTCCCCAGTGCCTGGCGGGGCAGCGAGGTCCCCTCCCATCCGACCCGCATGGCTACAGCTTTCCTCCACCCCACTGCCTTAGCCCCTTGCCCCAGACTAGACGATGTGCCACTAAAGAGAAGCTGGTGTCGCTGTCACCTCTCTGCCTTTGCTCTTCAAGCCCCAAGTCAATCCCTAATTCCTCCCTGAAAAGCGGGAAGGAAGCCGCCCCGAGCCTGCGCCGAGTCCACAACTCAGCCGTGACGCTCGAGCGCGCGGAACCGTGCCGGCCCGGAGCGCGCCGTGTGGACCCCGCACGCCCACTCGCCGGAGCGGTCAGTGGCCGGAGTGGGAGAGCGCGCGGGCCGGAGCAGGGCCGCCCCGCGCTGCTGTCCCTGCGTGTCCCCGCCCCGCCCCCAGGCCTCCGGTGGCCGCGAGCGAAGCCTTCCTGGCGCGGGCTGTCGTCCCAGTCGGACCAGCGACCGAGGGCGGCCGGGCGACCGGCGGCGCGGCGGCCCCTTCGGGTTTCCTCCAGGCCCACCCGAGGGAAGGTGCCGGAGCCGGAGGGGCTGGGGCCGCGGCGGGGGCTGCGGCGGCGCGCAGACGGGGAGCCACAGACGGGCCGGGCCTGGCGCGGGCCTCTGGCGGGGAGCTGGCCCGATTCCTGGCGTCCTTCCTGACAGCAGGCGAGTGTGTGTCCGTCTGCGTCGAGCTTGGAGCTGCTCAGAAAAGACCCTCTTCGCGCACGTGGACAGCCGGGAAGAGGCGGGAGCGGTCGTGGGCAGACGGGCCCCCGGGGCAGCCGGCGCCGCCAGCTCACTCGAAGGATTGGCCCTCGTCCCTGAGCCTCTCACAAGGTGAAGCGTGAAGCGAGGAGGGCCGCGGAAGAGCAGAGCCGCCTGTCTCGCGGGGTCTCCCTCGGGCGTCACTCCGACATCCGCACGCGCCTCTGCCCTGGGCCCGTCTGTCTCCTCCGGTAACTTAGCATCGCGCCGAGGGCGCAGGCCAGGAGACAAACGGTCGTGACACAACGTGGGAAGTGCTCTAAGTGGGAATTAAACGGGGTCACAGAAGAGGGCCCCGCTCCAGGATTGGCGGGCCTTCAGGGCTCCTGGGAGGAAGCGGAAACCCACGGAACAACTGTGCTTCATCAGGTGGAGATGGGGAGGAGCGTCCTGGTCAACAGGGACAGTGTGTGCCCACCTCAGACAAGGGGCCTGGGCGCCTCCTGGAAGGGCAGGTCCAGGCGGCCGCAGGGGCGGGGGACGCAGCCCAGGGGGCAAGAGGGCCCATGAGGATGGAGTGGGGAAGCGGTCCTAGGAGGTGGGGTAAGTTAGCAAAGCCCTTTAGGAGGGAAGTGCCTACATGGCAGGCTGGAAATGGGGCCCAGCCCACCCTTCCCCTCACTTGGCCTGTTATAGGGAGTAGATTTGAGGGGAGGGAGGCTGAGGGCCGTGGGCCGAGTCAGGCTGTGGGGCTCCAGGCAGTAGGTGACACCTGTGTGATCTGGCCGTGGCTCTTGGGCCCTGGAGACAGTGTTTTCTTCCATGATGAAGGACCTGTTTTCCCTCAGTCCAATATAGACCTATAATTTTGTAAAATGTAATAAAAATGAATTACTAGAAAAATAGAATTTTTAAAAAAGATAAAATATAAGCCCACATTTTTATTAATGGATTCCAAAACATGAAATTCGTCAAGTTGCCATGAAAATTTCTGAGGCTTCACTCACAATTTCTGTGCGTGTCACAGACCACCCTGAGCCACACGCCTGAGCGGCACTGACTGAGGAGGAAGAGCTGATGGTGCGTGAGGACGGGTCGTCTGTGGGAGGGTGGGTGGCCGTGTGCAGATTTATCCTGGGTGACTGAACGGCTGCAGGTGCTGTTCTCAGAGCTAGGGAGCCAGGAGGTCTGGAGGGGCGTTGTGAGCGGGAAGAGGAGAGTCCAGCACATTGTGTTGGACTGGACCAGCAGGGTGAGAGTGGCTGGGAGCAGTGAAGATGGTGGTGTGGACACAGACAGGGCAGAGCGCCTGAGCTGGGGCTGCTTGGGAGTCATGAGTGAGCAGACAGTGAGCAAGCCCAGGAGGAGGTGGGCTTGCTCAGGATGCCTGTGCAGAGGGCAAGGAGTCAAGAACTCAGGCAGGATTCTGCAGGCACCGGTGAGCGAGAAACATATGTCACAGGAGGCTGAGGAGCCACTGGGGAGAACCCAAGGGGTCACAGAAGTCCAGGGAATAGAGTGTTTTCCTGTGGGGTGATGACAAGCCACCACTTGATCTGAGGAGCTCAGAAACCCTGGCCTGCTAGGGCCTGCAGCTCCCCCCACCCGGGGATTGTTTCTCTAAAGAGATGTGTCCGAATGGCCTTGGTCAAAATAGGATCCTCAGAAACAATGCAGCAAGAATTACTTTACAGTTTTCTGTGCTTTCTGAATTTTCTAATGTTTTTCTATTAAGTATTTTAAGAACTAGAACGAATGTTCATTATTAACAAAAAAAAAGGAATTGATCATTGCCTAAGCATCTGTTAGCCAGCTATCTCCCTGGGAAGCAGATGGAACGGGTCACAGGTTAGTTTTGATGTGAGGGGTGGGTCCCTGGGGGTGGGGGAGGCCTGAGCAGCCCTTGGATGCCGCCCTCAGTGTGAGGAGACTGAGGGTAGAGGCCCGGCCTCTGACGCAAGGACTTCCCCCATCCACCAGAACCTGTCAGCAGCTGACTGCCCAGGACCACCCTGAGCCAGCTCCTGGTTTGCAGAATAGAGTTGACAGTCACGAGGGCAAGGGGCAAGCAGACCCATTGTGTACAAAAACACGCACACAAACACAGGGCAGAAATGCTTCTCGAAACTGGGCAGCCGAGGGTGGAAAGATGTGCCCCGGCCGTGCCCCAGCAGAATGAGGTGTCTGCGATTGCGTTGAGCTGGGTGTCCCTTCCCGCTGACTTGTCCCTGGAGGGGACACTTCCTGAAACGCAGGCAGCTTCTGTCTCATTGTCCCTCCCTCCCTGCAGGCAGCTCCTCTCCGTGCAGGCCTTCCTCCTCAGGTTGCAGGCCTCCAGCAGTTCCACGTCTCCATCTTCTGCAGCCCCCGCCCCTGTACTCTGCGCCCTCCCCACCGCCCTAGTCCTTGCCTCGCCACTCCATCCTTTACCACATGGTCTCCTGACTAGTCTCTGACCCCAGAGTTCCTTTTCTCAACCCGTTCTTCCAGAACTACTGTCCCCCTACCACACGCAGTTTGGGAGGTTGCCCTTTAAAAGCATTCAGTGTTTCCTTACTGCCTATAGGATCAAATCTGTCAAAGTTTACTTAATTCTGGGGTACACGCTTATCCGGTGATCTCCAGGTTCCCCACACCTGGCCTCAGCCACCTCTGCAGCTGCCTTCCCAGCGCGCCCTGCGGGCCGGCCAGGGCCCCATCTTCACGCCCGCAGTGCTCGCACCCAGGCTGCCTCCTCCCTCTTCTCCTTGTAAACTTTCTCTTGTTCATTCAGGCCACTTCTAGCCCTTTCTCCAAGCCAGTCCATAATGACCTGGCACGAACCCTACAGCACTCACTGTCTAAGCAGCCCTATTGCTATTAAATGGAATTTGAGAGTTTTAAAAGATATCCATTAGTTAAGGACTCTTTTGTTACCAAGTTACAAAAACTAACTAACTTGCTTAAGACTATCCTTTGCCAGAAGCATAGTGGAATATGCCCTCGGTACCCAAGGTCAGGAATGAAGTGGGTCGCTGTGTGACCAGGGTTTCTATTCATCTCTTGCTACAAGTTGTCTCTCAGTTTCCCAAACACTGTGACAGTTCACACGACTGCTGATAGGCCCCATGTTTTATATGTCCCAGAAAAAACTCATTGAAAGAGCTACATAGTCTCTTTGCTGGAAGGATTCCCCTTGCCCGGGGTCTTGCGAGGCCTGTGTTGGGAGAAGAGTGCGGAGGGTGCCCAGTGGGAGGGGCGCTGTGTCACTTTAGAAGTCTATTCCTGTCACTGCCAGAACCAGTAGCATTTAAACTCTGAGAAGGCAGGGACCTTGTTTTTGTTCTCAGCTGTATCCCTCCTGCCTAGAACTGTGACAGGCACACAGTGGGCACACATCACATACTTGTAGACTGACTAACACTGGGGCCTGTGGATTGCCTTAGGGATGGAGCAATTATGGGCCCTGTTGACAAGTTTGGGATTTTTGTGGTGTTGTGACTCCTTTAAAGCCTTGGCTGGCTGGCTGTCAGTTTCCTCTTTGCTGACTCTGTTTACTAGTGCACTTTCCAGTGCCAGAAACTTGTCAAATCATGGTCTCTGGTACTAAGTAAAGGCACTCTGTGGCTGCAGACGCTACCATGTCTGTCCAGTGGAGGTGTAGGGAGTGGACCTGGGATTGGGGTGTCCCTAATTTCTCTGGCTTCGGCGGCCCGGGGTTTGTGGGTTTGGATCCCGGTGTGGACCTACTCACCACTCATCAGCCATGCTGTGGCAGTGCCCCACATAAAAGAGAGGAAGATGGGCATGGATGTTAGCTCAGCAACAGTCTTCCTCAAGCAAAAAGAGGAGGATTGGCAACAGATACTAGCTCAGGGCCAGTCTTCCTCACACACACACACAAAATCCCTCTTTGGTATCCCCTCAGCTTCCCTCACCTCTGCTCTCCCTTCTCTCTCTAGAATGTCCCAGAATGCCCCAGAAGTCCTCCCCGTGAGCCATAGTTTAGGCCCATTATTCCTTTCTCTCATCCTCCCTTCTAGTCTCAATCCCAGAGTCCAAAGGTCTGGGAAGGGAAAGTAATGAAGCAAGCTGGCCCATGGCGGGCAAGTTGTGACTTGCTGGGAAGGTGGCTCAGGCCAGTCTCCACTGACACCCAGGCTCTGCCCGCACTGCTATGGCGGGGAGAGTCGAGGGCACGGATGCTGCTTCTGCTTCAGCCAGGGACCCCCTGAGGAGCACAGCCTGCGTCCCAGGGCCCCTGCCGTGCCCGGCCTGGTGCAGGATGTTCAGCCTGGATCAGAGGTGAACTCTGCCTGTCAGCCCTCTGGGCCAGGTTTCAGGGAAGGGTTGCTGTGGAGCTACATGTTGCCCGGCTTCTCGTCCAGATTCCTGGAGGACAGCTGAGCACAGCTGAGCCCTGCCCGGGGGAGCAGGCAAGAACCACTGACCCGCAGGATCCCCCCAAAAAGGAAAAAAACATCTACAGTTAAACATAATTTGTAATTATTTGGATAGCATCTTCTCAGATTGCAAAATTTAAGTCACAATTCTGTTTGTTGTCACCAGGTTTCCTGCGTGCTCCTCAAGGTCCAGTGGTGAGAATATCTAGGTTATCTGCTCTGACCACTCCCAGATGACCTCCCTCGCCTGAGAGACAAGGACGTCCTCCTAGGTCCCAGGAGTCTGAGAAAGCTTTATTTTCTATTTTGGTCTTCCAGAACTCCTGTGGGATGAGGGGCCCATGTTACGTGAAGTGTGACTTCACTTTTGGCCAGAATCAGACAGTCTCGATACTCCACCTGGTTCCTCTGCTGACAAGAAGCCCTCCTTCTCAGAAATGTGTGCTCTCCTATTATTAATAATAGCTATCACTTACCAAAGGCATTAACTTATTTCAGTCTCACAAAACCCCTGAGGCCAGTTCTACAGAGGGGAAAACAGGATCAGAGAAGTGAGGTAACTTGCTTAAGTGAACAGCAAAGCCAGGATTCAAATTCAGCTCTGACTGACCTGAAGCCAGGAATAAAATTGCAATGTGTTTGAAAACTTTTCCACACGTGGCTCCAATGGTGGGGGACAAGCCAGAGAGCAGCTGCTGGTGGCAGCTCTGATGGCAACCCTCGGAGCCTCGTTGAGGACTCCCACCCCATGGCAGGGCCCCAGGGGGCAGAGTTGGCCTCTGGGCTGGCTCCTTCCCAGAAGCCCTTGCAGTGCCCTAGCTTTACGAGCATTTCCCTGTGGGGTGAGGGCAAGATGCTTCAGCCCTGGTGAGGGCAGTGACCCCAGAGGAGGTGGCCAGGCCCTCCTGGCCCCTAACCTGTCTCTGGACCTGGATCTTGGAGAGGAAGGCACACCAGAGCAGCTGTGGGGGCTGCTGGGTGGGCAGGAGGCTGAGGAGAGCGGTCTCTGGACACCTGCAGGGTGTCAGTCCTACCCTTTTCCACTCTAGTCCCACTCTCCTGCCCTCCTCTCTCCGTTCGCCCGCCAGGCCTGGCCACGAGCCAGCCTCCCTCCGTGCTGCTGTCTCTTTCTGTGCCGCTTGCTCTCACTCTGTACTTCCCTCCACCCCATGGCCTAGGGTCACAGCAAAACTCATCAATGGAGGCGTGGCAGGGCTTGTGGGGGTGACCTGGGTGTTCCCCATTGACTTGGCCAAGACTCGACTGCAGAACCAGCATGGAAATATACCTACAAAGGGATGTAGGTCCTGGGGCTGGGGTGCGGCAGGCGGGGGGCCGCAGAGGAGGAGCATGGGGCTTCACTCCTTCCAGTTTCTGTAGGGGGTGTGTACATCAGGGGGTGTGTGTTGGAGGTTTGGGGGAGGCAGTCCCCTAGGGTGTGCCCAGCACAGGGTGGGGCAGGGCTGATGGAGCAGCCTCCTATTCACCACTAATTCCTTTTCTGACCTCTGCTTCTAAGATAGATTGCCTGATGAAGACAGCGAGGACGGAGGGCTTCTTGGACATGTACCGAGGCGGGCTTATTAGGCATCCCAGAGGCCTGGCTGGGCACAGGACGGAGGCTGTGGCACAGGAGCCCCAGTCTTTGTGAGTTTATAGGACATTGGGAAATGGCATTCCCTCTGCCCAGGGAATTCCTGGATGGGGCCTGGCCACCAGGTGATCCTGGACCACATGTGCTGTTCCCCAGCCCTCATGTTCTTTGGTGGAGGCAGAAGTGGTTATGGTGAGGTGTGGGGGCACCAGTGAGCACACTGAGGAACCCAGGAGCCCTGGGCTCCGGCCTGGCACCACCACTGCCTCACTGTGTGATGTTAGAAGCAAGTGAGCCCTCAAACTTCTTCCCCTCTCCTTCAGGGCTGTCAGGGCATCTAGGTGCTAACAGCAGAAGGGGGAGAGGCTGGCAGGGACAGAGATTGGAAAGACTTTGGAGCTCCTGGAAGGGAGTTACTGGGTGGCTCTTCCCTGACACAAGCCAGTGCTGTGTCGGTCCCCACAGCGTCCCTGTCCAGGGCAGCACAACTGTGAGTATACCTTGGAAAATGGAGACGGTGCTCTCGTGGAAAAGGAGCTGATGTGCGAGTACCCCTGAGAAATGAAGGAAACACCTGTGACCCACACCGCAGCCCATGGGCCTGGGCTAGTGCAGCAGAGTAACGAGGCCTCCAGCCCTGTCCCCCAAGCCTTATCATGGAGGCTTACTCTGGGAGCTGCTCGTTAACCAGCAGAGGTGGGCAGCACCAGGAAGGACAGTGAGCCCAAAGGAAACACACACATACAGAAGGGCAGCGTGCTGAGAGAAAACGACACAGAATGCATATTTCAGCAAAACAGGCAGAGGAACCCACCTTGACCCTGTTTACTTCCAGAAACTTCCCTGGCTAGAGCTGGGAGTGGGTTGCCAACGTGAGTGGCAGACTCAGGGAATCGTTACTCCTGAGGGGGCATTTCCTCCTCATCTTCGTTTGTCACTCCAGGGGCCGCTGGGAACCTAACCTTGGTCACTCTGGAGAAGGCCATCAAGTTGGCAGCCAACGACTTCTTCCGGCAGCTGCTAATGGAGGATGGGTACGCCAGGTGGGAGGATGAGACACGGAAATCCCGTCACTGTGTCTATGGTTTTTTGTTTTTCGGAAGGTGGTGGCGAGAGGACTGCAAATGTGCCTCAGTTTACCTTTCTGCATGTATATAAATATGTGCACACAAATGGCTGAGGGTTAGTGTGTTTTGGCAGATGGAAAGTGAAGGAATAAAATGAGCTGGTGTAATTTGGACGTTCTAGATAGACAGACACTGACTGACTGACTGACCATATAGAATATATATACACACACACGTATATTCATCAACTAGTGATGAATTTTTTTTCAGGTCTCATTGAGATATAATTGACATACAACACTGTAAGTAAGTTTAAGGTATACAACATAATGACTTGACATACATGTATTATGAAATGAATACAAGTCTAGTTAACATCCATCACCTCATATAGTTACAAAAAATTTTTTTTTTCCTTCTCATGATAACTTTTAAGATCTACTCTCTTAGCAACTTTCAAATTTACCATACAGCAGTGTTAACTGCGGTCATCATGCTGTACATTACATGCCCAGGACTTGTTTATTTTATAACTGGAGGTCTGTATCTTTTGACCACCTTCACCCAATTCCCCCACCCTGGTAACCACAAATCTGATCTTTTTCTGAGTTTGACTTTTTTTTAGATTCCACATGTAAGTGACATCATACAGTGTTTGTCTTTCTCTGACTTATTTCACTTAGCATAGTGTCCTCAGGGTCCATCCATGTTGTCACAAATGGCAGGATCTTCTTTTTTCTGGCTGAGCAGTATTCCACTGTGTGTACCACGTTGTCTCCATCCACCCATCTGTCAATGGAACTTAGGTTGTTTCCATGTCTCGAGTGTTGTCAGTAATGCGGCAGTGAACACGGGGTGCAGATGTCTCTTCAAGATGGTAATTTCCTTTCCTTTGGATAAATACGCAGACATGATATTGCTGGATCACATGGTAGTTCTATTTTTAATTTTTTGAGAAATCTCCAGACTGTTTTCCACAATGAGTGCACCAATTTACATTCCCAGCAACAGTGGACGAGAGTTCTGTTTTCTCCACGTCCTCTCCAACACTTACTTCTCCTGTTTTTAATGACAGCTATTCTAACAGCTGTGAGGTAATAGCTCATTGTTGGTTTTATTTGCATTCCCCTGATGACTAGTGATGCCGAGTGCCTTTTTCATGTACCTGTTGCCCATCTCTACGTCGTCTTTGGAGAAAGAAGATCCTCTGCCCCTTTTTTAATCAGATAGTTTTATTGCTATTGAGTTGTATGAGTTCTTGACACATTTTGGATTTAACCCCTTATCAGATGTGTGATTTGTAAATATTACCTCCCATTCAGTAGGTTGCCTTTTCATTTAGTTGACGGTCCTTTGCTGTGCAGCATTTTAGTTTGATGTAATCCTACTTATTTATTTTTGCTTTAGGTGCCATATTCAGGGAATCATTGCCGAGACCAATGTCAAGGAGCTTTCCCCCTGTTTTCTTCTAGGAGTTTATGGTTTCAGGTCTTACATTTAAGTCTTTAAGCCATTTTGAGTTACGTTTTGTGACTGATGTAGGATATGCGTCTAGTTTCATTCTTTTACATGTGAATATCCAATTTTCACAACACCATTTATTGAAGAGACTGTCTTTTCTCCAGTGAGTTTTTATGGCTCCCTTGTCAAATATTAGTTGACTGTATGCTTGGGTTTATTTCTAGGCTCTCAATTCTGTTCCATTGATCTATGTGTCTGTTTTTATGCTGATGAATTTTTAAAAATCAACCCCCAAACACTTGCTGGTTCTCTCTGTACCCCTCTTTGCCCTAGTGATTACTGCTTAAGGGATCAGGGACAATCAAATGCCTGTAATGGGTAGTTCCATGGTACTAGTTTCAACTTTGATGGACTGCTACCTCCCTGGCAGCCTGTTTTTTTTTTTTTAAAGATTTTATTTTTCCTTTTTCTCCCCAAAGACCCCCAGTACATAGTTGCGTATTTTTAGTTGTGGCATGTGGGACGCCACCTCAGCATGGCTTGATGAGCAGTGCCATGTCTGTACCCAGGATCTGAACCGGCGAAACCCTGGGCCGCTGAAGCAGAGTGTGCAAACTTAACCACTCGGCCATGGGGCCAGCCCCCCTGGCAGCCTGTTTTAAATTTAGTCTTATGTCTTTAAGGAGATTCAGCCTGAGGGCCAGGTGATTATTTACTCAGCTGACTGAGTGGCAACCGATGGGGACAAGACTAACTACCACACATGGAAATTCCCAACTACCGAGGGAGGGTAGACAGGCCGGGTGGGATGGCAGGGCTGGGCTGTGTCTGGAGGAGCCTGACTCCTGGTCCCACAGGATGCAGCAGAATGTGAAGATGGAGATGCTAGCCAGATGTGGAGCTGGAAGGTGCCAGGTGCTAGTGACCTGTCCCATGGAAGTGCTCAAGATTCAGCTGCAGGATGCTGGGCGTCTGGGGGAGGCCTATCCCAACTTCACACGGGGTTGATAAAGGGCTATGAGCAGAACAGATTTCCCCACATTCTGTGCTCATTTGCTAGACTGCGCGATCCAATCACTTTCCAGGTTAGTGCAAGTCTTTATTTTATGGTTATCATTCTAGATTTCAACTCTAGAACCACTCTAGCTCCAGAACCAATAGCAGAAATGAGAATCCTGATTCAGGAGGGACACAGAATACTCACCCTACTACCTCTATCATATTGCCTTGATATGTAGGCTTGATTTCCTAAAGATTTTAGGAACCGCCCATGGCCTGTAACACTTCTGTCCCCAAGTGCTGATAGGATACAGCTATAAATAGGTTCAGAGGTGGTTTAGAAATAGAACACAGATCAAAAGCAGTTTTAACAGGAGGATAAGGAATGGGGCGGGGGGATTATGACTGCTTCCTTTAAAGAAAGCCAGGCAGGCAATGGCTGTGCTCTTGGGAAGCATCTTATGCAGCAGAGACAACGCGTTAAGTAATACAGAACTTATAAAGATTTCTTTCGAGCCAAAATTAATGTTCTAAAATTAGGACAATCCTCAGAATTCTAGCAGGGTGTCAGCCTTGCCTCGGAGCGGTCCCAGGGATTGGACAGGGAGCCAGACTCGTGCGAGTGTTTTGCCGCATATGCTGGGCCTGCCTTGTGACGGGGAGTCTGTCTCTTGCTTTCCGTCCATCATCAGGGCTCGGCCTCAGCACCTTCCTCCTTCAGGTCCTACACTACTGGCTCAGCAGCCACCCACGAGCGCCCATCTGCCACCCTCACTGTCTGGGAGCTGCTTTGTACCCAGGGCCTGGCTGGTCTCTAAGGGTCTGGGTGCCACTCTCCTCAGGTGAAGAGACACAGGTGAGGAGGTGAGTTCTTCCTGGACTTGGGACACAGAAGGGAGAGGGAACAGAGGGCCAGAGAGATTGCTGCCCCAACCTGTCTCTGTGGTTTCCTAGAATATTCACACCCAGGATAGCAAACTATCTCGGTGCTTCCTACTTTGTCCAGAATTGGGCAGGGCTACATAGAATGGGCACCTGGAAGACTAGTCCTAGGCCCATCTCCAGTGACCAGGCCCACAGGAGTACTGGCTGTTCTGTGGCCAAAAGGCACTTAAGAATCTTCGTCTACCAAAGACCACGGATCGCTTAAAAGCATACACCCCATCATTTTACTTTGCTGCTTGGCCAAAATCCTTCAAGCTGATCAGAAGCATCCCACGACACGGCCTAGTTCTTCTGTCACCTGGGCAGTGGCTAAACGAACTGCACCTTCCTGCCCATCCCACCCCTCAACCCTTCCTTACAGCTCTTCACCAGCCACTTACCCAACTTACTAACTCTGACCGTGGCCTGCCTGCCCTCTTCTAAAGAACAAGTTACTGGTCGCTGAACCTGCACCTGGCTCCTCATCCAGAAGCTGCAGGTGCTGGTAGGGCAGAGTAACGAGCTGGGGGTGGGGGTGAAGGCAAACTGATCTCTCTGATGTTGTCGCCCTACATTATAATGGGTGCCATGGAAGGACTAAGTCGTTGTGGGTTTGTCTCTGACCCATCTGAGGAGCGCTACAGCTAGTGGGCTCACTGTATGACCTTGGGCAGAAGCCCGAGGCATGTGGCTCAGTGTTTCTTATTCCTCCCCTGCAGAGACATTCCCTTCGCCATCATCTACTTCCCACTGTTTGCCAACCTGAACCACCTTGGCTTCGATGAGCTTACTGGGAAGGCTTCCTCTGCTCACTCCTTTGCGCCAGGCTGTGTTGCAGGTTCTGTAGCTGCTGTCACAGTCACGCCTCTGGAGGGTAAGTGCATGGCAGATGTAGGGGCTTCAAGGGTTGATTTGCTTTACGAATTAGCCACCTGTGTAGTCATCCATAGGATAAACAGGAATTGTGCACATTTTTAGAGATGCGTCAGCCCCAACTTGAAAACCCTCTTGGGTCACAACCTGTGGCCACAGGCAGAAACTCACCAAAGGTCCTCACACAGAAAAGTGGGGCCCAGGAGACCTCTGCTTTCTTATCATTGACAAATCTCCTCACCTTCTAAGTGCTGATCTCATTAGCTTTTTGTCCCTCAGCAGAGTTGTGAGCATCAGCTATAAATGACTGCTGCTATTTTAAAGTTTGAGGCGGTGGGAGCCCTCACTTTAGGGCTGCGTCCAGCTGCTCTAACACGCAGATGGACCTTTCTAGAGTGCGAGTGACCTGGAGGGTTGTGCAGTTTCCAATTCCTTCATTTTATAAATGAGACCAAAGAGAGGAGACCTTCCAGTACAGACCACAACGGCAGAACTGGCCTCAGGATTCATCTCACGTATACTGGCTCTAAAAGGAAACCCAACCACTTCACGCTGAGGACACCAAAAGCAAAGTTCACTACTTATATGGATTGTGGCTGGGACAGTTCTCCGTGCTGGTGTCCACCTATGCCAGATCTGGAGAACCATTTTATCACTGTGCTATGCTGAGCTCTGGATTTCTTTGAAATCTGTCCCTTTCCCTCACCTCTCAACAAAACCAGGATGCACTGGGACCTTTTTCCTTCATCCCTACACCATCTTTCTCCCAAAGGGTCTAGCCGGATTGAGCCTATTTTCCATGGCCTGGACCCAACTGCGTAGTAATCAAACTGCAAACACATAATGGGTGAGGCCCGGCTCCACCCACTGGGATCTCACTATTGTGGAAAGTGCTGCTGCTCTCAAAGGAAAGGCGTGCACACGCTGGAGGGGAGGACGCCACCTAGCTGCATTGTACTCCTGCCCATCAGCTCACTGGGCTCTTCTTTCTCCCCAGGAAACTCTGGATTCAGGAGGGACCATCTGCCTTCACGAAAGGAGCAGGCTGCCGGGCCCTTGTCATAGCTCCTCTCTTTGGGACTGCCCATAGTGTCTACTTCATTGGTATCGGGGAGAGTATCTTAAAGTGTTCTGAGTAGACAGAGCTGGAGCTCAAGTCCCCTTACTTGCTGCCATCTCTCCAGCTCATTCTTTCTAGACTAGAGGGGGAAGAGCAAGATGGCCCCCGTGTTGCATTTTGTCCTCTAACCTGCAGAACTACCTCAGTCTCAGAAGAAACCGCCTTATTCTAATAAGCAAGCTGGGTAGAGCCTTGCTCTCCCTTCGTGATACCTGCATTCATTTTCTTTGAGGCCACAGCTTCCAGGGAACTGCAGAAGCCCCTAACCACCTCCTTTTCAACAACAACTGAGCAGCCCAGGCAAAGTCAGGGCAGCCATCCTGTCCCAAATCCTCCTTCTGAAGCACAAGCTCTTGCAGACCAGTGTCCATGGAACACTGTTTGAAATAAAGTCAACTAGTTAAAATCTCGTCTTGTAAGTAGTGGGAGAAGCAGGCAGGCTGCAATGAATAGTGTCTGTCATCTACCTTTCTGTGTCCGTTTCAGAACCAAACTACAGTCATGCGCCACATAACGACGTTTTGGTCAACGACAGACAACATATACGACGGTGGTCCCATAAGACTATTACCACACAGCCTAGGCGTGTAGTAGGCTATCCCATCAAGGTTTGTGTTAAGTACACTCTGTGATGTTTACACAATGAAATCACCTAATGACACATTGCTCAGAACGCATCCCCGTTGTTAAGTGACATGCACGTAACTGGACAGTTCAATGAGCACTGGAGCAGGCCTCTGTCACTTACTCTTCAAACTGCTCCTCATGAGTGGGGAAGAGCAAGAGGAATACTTTACTTTATTTTTAAGTTGGATTTGGTTTTAAGTCTTGGTTCTATCACTTCCTAACTGCACCATCTTGAGGAACTGAGTCTGCAGTGACAGAGTCCTCATGCGCCTCAATTCCTTCCCCATAGGCTGCAATAGAGAAATGACATTACACAAGTGGAGTTAAGTCCTAAGAAAAAAATAGGTGTTCCAGGAGCTGGTATTCATTAGTCCTCACCTAATCTAAAACTTAAGTTAATGAAAAAACGGTCAGCCTTACTGGCCTCATTCTCTACCAAGAGGACTGCATGGAGTATAGGCTCTAGAGACAGAGCTGGAATTTCTGCCACGTACTAGCTGTCAGACCTTGGGCCGCTCTTACTAGACATCTGAGGAAAAAAGAATGAGGAGTGGGAAGAAGAGGATCTTTGGGAAAAGGTTTAGGCCTAACACACAGTAATCCCTAACCCCTCTCCCCTTAAAAAACCTTAGTTTCTTTTCTGTCTCTGCCAAAGCTAATAAAACTACTTCCTCAGTAAAGCTGTCAAACCCTCTAGAGGACAGGTAATACTGAACACTTGCATGAGTGGAGGTTCATACGGGGCTGGAAGGAACATTCCTTCTGGGTGAGTCTGGTAAAAATGAGCAGGAAGCACCAGAGGACACAGAGAGGGTTAATGGCTTCAAGTACTGACAGCTGTCAACCAGCAAATGCCACAGGGGTTTGGGAAATGCTTCTTTTCTAGATACGTCAGTAAGACATTTACCCTCTCAAACCACAAACTTGTAGTGCCTTGCATAATAAATTACACTGAAATCCACGTAAACCTTTTGTTTTAATAAATAAAGCATACTTGTCACTTAGATTTTAAATCACATTTACAAATAAGGAACATTTCTAGGCCCAAACAGCTAACAGTGAAGCTACTACTGCTGGAAGGAATGCACGCCCCACATGCATTTGAAGCCTAAAGAGCAGAGACTTAGCGGCACAGAAAACAGCAGACACATCACCCTCCAGACTAGATAACTAGGACCAGAGAGGAGCAGAAGACGTTCACGCAGCCACTATCTGACCCCTCACCCTCAGGCTGCAGAACCAGCCAGAAGCTGTGTTACTTTTAGATAAGCTAGAGGTAGGTTTCCTGATCATACAAGCGTAACTTTCTCCACTGGTAACAACAAGGCCAAGAGCATTAGCTACAGAAGGGCATTCACTGATAAATAGAGTATATTAGAACAGCAAAGTGGAAGCTACAGAGATCATCTTGTTTCTTCCAATATCAGAAACTTGCGCATCACAGCAGTGGAGCAGTGGATGAGCTCCAGCTCCCAAGGCTTAGTCCAAAAACTTCCTGTTGGCATTTGCACCAAACAAGGCTCCCCGCACTTCTGGCATCATCTGTGAAGAAATAAGTTTGTAAATAAATAAGCAGTCAACTGGAGAACGTGGAAACAACTGCACAGCTCAACCACAGGCGGCAAGTCATTAACGCCTACATGGCTGGGAAGGAAATCACAAAGCTAAGGGCATCCAATCTTTCCTTACTTATCTAAAGCACTGCAACAGAATCCTTGGTGAGAAACAACCCATCACAAACTTGGGGTTAAGACTGGCTGCTTAACGGGGACAAAGAAGAAAAACTAAAGTCATCATCAGTGTCTATAGCTTCTGCTACACTGTGATGCAGGGAGAAGAGATGAGTCCACCAACATCATGACCTCCTCATGTTCTGGATCACCCATGTTCTTTCTCTCAACCAGTATTTCCTGAGTGCCCACTCTGTGCCAAGCAGAACCCTTAGAATGCAAGGTCGTGCTGAAGCACTCGCCACGGCAACTGCAAACTCTAAGGATTTAACCTCAGTCTTCTAAGGCTGTGCTCTCCAACAGAGTAGCCACCAGCCACACGTGGTTACTGTGCATTTCAAAGCAGCAGTGCAACTGAGGAGCTGAATTTCTAATTTTACGTATTTTTAATTAAACTGAATACCCACATTTGGCTAGTGGCTACTCTCTTGGGCAACGCAGCTCTAGGGTCTGAGTTACCAGACGATACTTAAGGCCCAAGGGCTTTCACTATAAGACAAATAAGCAGCCACGGCAACAGACCACCACCACTGGAAGATGCCCAGCCTGCCGCAACAAGCCACTTTCCCTGCTTTGGCTCCCAGCATTTATTGGTGCAAACCTGGAAACATCTCAAGAGCCAGCACCTCTATGGTAATTCCCTTACCCAAGGATTTACTTTAGTTCCCATCATTCCTGTTGGAGAAAGAACTTTGGTCAGCATCTCTACATGTAGTACACATTAGAATCCTAGATCAACTAAACCCTTGTTCTGACCCCAAATCCTCCTTCGTGTAAATGGTATCGCCTCGGTAAATGCCACTAAATGCCTAAGCCCCATGCCTTTTAAGAAACTGTCAAAAAAAGGTGGAAAGAGACCGATGAATTCCAAATACCAGTGAATGAATGCGTGTTCTCTGTGCCACCTCAAGGCGACACGGCAGCTCCCGAGGAGCACACTCACCTGCTGGGCTATGAGGTCCAGCCGGCTCTCCAGGGTATTGCACACCTTTATCTTACGATCCCCATTATAGATCTCAACTCCTCCAGCTCTACAAAGAACACAGCAAGTAACAACTCCTATAGATTTGAGGCAGACAGACACACACAGTGCATTTACTTTATTTCCTTGAAGAAAAGCCGTTTTGGTGTGTGGAGTGTCTAAGCAGCCAATAAACATCAACAATGAGTTTGAAATTAATTCAAAAAGCTTCTGAGGATTTAAGGTATGCATAGTTATAACTGCCATTTACCAAGTGACTGCTCTGTGCTAATTTGATTTTATGTTATTGCACCTAATTTAATTCTACAGCCAGCCCTCCCCAACCAAGTGAAAAAGGGGAGGATTCAGTCCTAGTTTGCAAATCAACAGATAGAGTCCTCATCTGAATGTTCCTTAGAGGCCAGATCCTGCTAATTACCACGGGTTACTGATAAGGCGATGTTATGTATCAGGTAAAAGGTACCACACCAAACCTGTGCCAAGCTCGCCCTCAGAGAGTCCTGCCTCTGGCCGTACTTCCCTGCTGACAATTCTTTCCTCAAAGTTTCTCAGCATTTACAGGTTTGAGGTAAACAGATCAAATTCTATTACAGAGAGCCTAAGGGAATGACATTGTCTTGCTACATTAGAATTCTATAAAATATTTCTTGAAACAAGCAGGCGATGAGGCAAAGACTGGGGGAGGTTTTGCGAATTTTCTTTGGGAAACTGTAATGGACTCCGACTTCAGTTATTTTCATACTCCCTCCTAACTCCCCCCTATTTCTTTGTTTCATCTATCCTTGGTTTCTATAAACAGACTATATCCTTCATTAGGGCATGGGTGGTTCTTTCCTGAAATCCTGACCCCACTTCGGTGATATAATTCTTTGTCTCTGTTGGGGGAGTAAGGCAGGGAAGGAAGACTACCACTAAGTGAGAGCGTCTCCCGTGTGCCAGGCACTCGCCGGATATAAAGCCCAGGGCTTCCCACGACTTCCACCTGCCCCGTAAACCTCAGAGAGTCTTGGTATCCTCACCATTTCACAAACAAGGGAACAAGCATAACAAGGCTGGACAGAATGACAATATGTAAGCTTCCAAGAATTCTGTGACGTAGGTGTTATTATCCCAATTAAGAGACGACAAAATCAAGGCTCAGTGAGATTAGATAACTAGTCCAAGACTACCTAGTAAGAGGCAGAGTGGAGAATCAAACCTCAACATGACAATAATGCTCAAGCTTTTTTCACTAGCGTATAGACTGTCTTATTTTATAAAGCAGTTTCATATACAGTAGTCCTCCCTTATCCATAGTTTCAGTTATCTGCAGTCAACCACAGTCCGAAAACATTAAATGGAAAATTCCAGAAACAATTTATAAGTTTTAAACTGCACGCCATTCTGAGTAGCATGATGAAACCTTGTGCTGTCCAGCTGTGTGCCACCTGGGACAGGAGTCATCTCTTTGGCCATGGAATCCACGCTGCATACACTAACCTACCCATTTGTCACTTAGTAGCCATCTGGGTTACCAGATCAACTGCGGTGGAATCGCAGTGCTTGTGTTCATGTAACCCTTATTTTACTTGATAATGGCCCCAAAGCGCAAGAGCAGTGATGCTCGCAAGTCGGATATGCCAAAGGGAAGCTATAAAGTGCTTCCTTTATGGGAAAAGGTGAAAGTTCTCAACTTAATAAGGAAAGAAAAAAATCATATGCTGAGATTGCTAAGATCTATGGTATATTGTTATAATTGTCCTATTTTATTATTGTTGTTGTTAACCTCCTACTGTGCCTAATTTATAAACTGAACTTTATCACAGGTATGCATGTATAGGAAAAAACATAGTATACATAGGGTTCAGTACTCTCCGAGGTTTCAGGCATCCACGGGGCTCTTGGAACATATCCCTCGAGGATAAGGGAGACTACTGCGTACTATCTCATCTTTTCTCCTCACTTTATGAAACAAAAAAGCAGAAAGCATTGATTCCATTTTACAAATGATAGAATTAAGTCCCCAGGTCCCACAGCTAGCAAAAGGTCAAATCACGACTCAAAGCTCGTTCTTACAGTCCTGAATCT